ATTTGCATCTACATCTCAGTTAGTACCTAACTAATGTATTTCACATTTATTTTTATACATTCCAAACTAACAGACCCAAGTAAAATTGTATTACTGTCTAAGGGAGGAGGCTAAGTTAGTCATCTGAATCTAAAACAAAGTTCACAATTAAGCAAGTATTTAATAGAAATATGTTATTATATCAAAATACAACTAAGCTAACGGAATTATCACTCACAGCTAAGTAATAGATATATAACAGAGAGTGAAGTGCACCAGCGGTCCCTAAACTTGTGCGGATGTGTCATCTAGGTCCCTGAACTCTCAAAATGTATTTTTGGGTTCCCGAACTTGTCTTGGGTGTTATATAGGTCCAAACGGGCTCCGACCCGCTCCATTCACTGACGTGGCATGCCATGGTGGCGCCTATGTGTCGGTGGGGCCATGTGGGTCCCACATGTCGGTATCTCTCTCTCCTCCTTATTCTTTCCTCTTCGTTCTCAATTCCTCCTCTCCTTTTTGCTATGCTATCTTGTTCCCCTCTCACATGTGCGCGCACCCGAGTGGGAGACAGCTGGCGCGCGACGGCGCGGGAAAGGCAGTGGTGGCAATGGAATGGGAGGCGCGGCGATCGGGCGACGTCGGCGCGGCCGAGATTATAGTGGCGTGGCAGCGCGGCCGAGGCGATGGTTGAGCGGCGGTGAACACACAGGGCCAGTGTGGCCGCGCGAGGCGGCGACGGTGGGGGAGATGGAGCAGATGGGGAGCGGTGGCACAGGAAGGGTGCTGCCACGGGGCGATGCTGACGATGGGAAGGAACAGAGGAGGAGCGGTGGCGGCCTGGATGGAGGTGGAGACGGCGGCGGCCTGGATCGCGGTTGCTCCTCGGCTGGAAGAAGACCAAGGCGGACGAGGGAGGAGCGCGCGCGGGCATCAACGACCTCCCCAACGAGCTCTACGACGTCGCCTGGGACATCATGCTCATAGACGGGTCATCCGGATGGAACCCGACCTCGTCGGGGCAGATGCTATCCATCGCATCGCCGGCAGCGGCACGCCGTCGCTCGGCCACTTCGTGGTCCGCCCGGACGGCCGACGCGACACAGGTACGACGGCCAACTCACCAGTGGCCATGGGATCTCATTGGCAGCGAGAAGGAAGGGAGGAGAAGAAAAAGAAAATGATTCTTTTAGTAGGCCCCACCTGTCAGTTGGTCCCTACCCTCTCGTGTGGAACCACTGATAATCCACCATGGCATGCCACGTTGGCGCGTGGGGGCGGATTAAACCCGTTTGGACTAGTGATGACACCCGAAACAAGTTGAAGGTCCTAAAAATGCGTTTTGAGAGTTTGGGGATCTATATGACACACCTAGACAAGTTTAAGGACCGTCCATGCACTTCACTCTATAATAGATTATGTCACAACCAAATAAACCAAATGCCTTCAATCGGTTCCAACCAGGGTGTAGACTTCATAGGGCACCTATGCTAAATATCACAAAAATACTTCATTGCACTAGTACATATACGTTTTTATAGAGATTTGTAACTCTAGAACCATTATTTGAGAATAAACTTGCAAACATGAAATTTGAACTGGTGGGTATCACAACAAACTACATGAAGTACCTGCTCAGTGCTCACAATGATCAGGAATTGTGTTGTGTACTCTTAAAAAATTCAGAACTTTTCAGAGAAGCTACAAACGTTTTGTGAGAAACTAAATTTAAGCATCAGAGGAGGAAGATTAAAACGAGAGGAACTCATCCGCAACAAATTGGCACACCTGCTGGTCGTCGCAGCCATACAAGTCCGCTGCTCGCCGAGGCCGCACGCGCCCGCCGCTCACCGAGGTTGCTGCCATCATACGCGCCCTCCGGCGGTCGCAGCGTATGAAACCGCCGCCGCCGCCGCACGCGCCCGTAGCGCCCGCTGGTTGCAGTTTACGTACGCGGCAGCCGGTCGGCATCACCGCTGCCGCGCGCGCCCGCCGTGCCCACTGATCACAGCCACACCATGCGCCAGCCGGTCGCCGCTGTCGCACGCACTGCCTCATTGGATTGGGATTGATTAGGGTTAATATTGAAAAGGAAATCTTGAATGTCAGGCACTGGATGGGTAATTGGGGATTAAACAATTACTAAGCTACCCTTGTTAATAAAAACTTTTGTTCCTAAATTACCCTTTATAAATTAACGGTGGATATCAATTGGTTAAGGAGGTATCTCAGGTACCTTCCAAGCACCGTAAAAGACCTCACAAAATATAGCATAAACTCCTTTCATTATCTTTTATCATATATGTGCATATGTCTCTCTTTATAATTATACTAGAAAAAATACCCGTGTATTGCAATGGGTGAAGGCTATTTTAATTTTATTATTGTTATATGGTTTAGTTAAGATAAAATTTACTATAGGAATTCGCTTGGGTAAATATTTTTTTAAGAAAATCATGAGATGCAATTAGGAGTCTTTTCTGTATTTCCAAAAACAAAAGAAGTTAAAAACGACTCAAATACTGATATGTATTTCCAAAAACGAACGAAATTAAAAATCAACTCATACACGGATGATGTACCAAAGTACCGGAAAAAAACATTTTCAATTTTTATCATAGTAGAGATATGAACATCTTTGAAGGGAGCTCATTCTACATTTCCCACTCAATTCTGTATGTTTCAGGAATAGATTGAAAGATCTATGATCAACAATTATTTTTTCAATTGTTGTTTTGTTGATTTGTGACAAACCGGCCTTGTGGGACTAACCTCATTTCATGAGTTGGCAAATAGGTTATTCCTGGACTTTATATGAGTTAAGACATAAACATATCTATTGATGGTGACCTTGTGCCGTAAAAGACGAAATGCATAGAGATAGAGCTATGTGTATCACTCTCCTTCACCATCTAAATATTGATATGTTCTAATATATTAATATATTATTTTCATGGGATTGACATATGCACGTGAGAGTAATGTTTTATTCTTCCACTCCATAGCATGTTAATTTATACTTGCAGCAAATGTATATGTTGTACACAGCCTCATAGAATATTGTAAAATGTACACTAGTGTCTAAAACATTTCCATCATTCTTCCATACACGTAGCACCCCACGCACACTTGTGTCCTTGCTTCATATAAAAAAGGGTTATCTTCTATGCTACATATTGCGGTTTGAACATGCGGGTTTATAAGTTGATTTAAACGTGTCTAATGTCTCTATATGGGACTAATCCTACCACACAATAATACCTAGGCCACACATGAACCAGAACATGCACACATGGGCCTGAGTAGAATACACTAACAAAACTAATTTGTTGGGTATTACACTTGTATTAGAAATCGACAACTCCGATCTTACCATCCCCTACTATATATAAGGTAGGCCTAACCCTATAACCTCATTATTGTTTCCTCCACCTCCGCAATCCCTCATTGGTATCACCTCTTCTTCCACCTTTATTTTCTTGTCTCCTCCATCGGAACTTGAGAAGGAAAGTAAAACTTCCCTATATGGTTTTTGCCAATTAGGGGATCAAATGCCTACTTTTATATTTATTATTGCTTAGAAAAATTGTGTTTTTAATCCCCTTCCGTACATATTATATACCCTTGCCCTAGCATCAATTAATTTCTATATTTAATTGGTGAAGGGATGGAAAGGGATAATGAGACATACCGATCCCCAACACATGTGGTGTACGCGACAGTGATCTCATATGTGATTCATGACAACAACCTCTTTGGTGAGGTCCCAATCTGCCTTGGCTTACGCACCTACATTGTTCACACTACACTCGTCTCCAAGATAACTTTGCATAGCCTCCAAGGCTTCTCTCCTTGCCACTTCCATGAGCTTCATCCATCGCGAATCCTACAAGTGAGCGAGGAACCGGACTATTACGACTACGGTGAGTGGTGATCTCCATCAATGAGGATTGAGGAGTGCAAGGGTGGTTTTATTTTTTTCCCCTCCTTTCTCAAGCCTGTAATTAATTTATCATACATTAACTCAAGTGATAAATTGTTTTAAAAATGCTGATATGGTGAGTTTAATGATGAGAATATTGCCGTAGAAAAGGGTTTAGCTTACCTAGATGGTAGGAATTTAACTGATTAAACAAATCTCCGCCAAACCATATCTTTCATACAATCAACCATGCAAAATCTATTGCTAACCAAGCTAAACAGATGCAAACAAGCAAACAACTGTATGGTGTATCCTTTTTGCTAGGCGAAACTCGATCTAAATTAGAGATGTGGATAAAGCTTTCTTGCTCCACTTGGCTCGATAAATTGTCAATTCAAACAACATGACATCCATGCATGTTTTTTCTTAAAAGTTCAAATTTGTATTTTAGTTATTAGTACGCAAAGCTGCTCTAAGGCCTGGTTCTTTTTCTCAACTCTAAACTTCCACTTTCTTACTTTCCATTAGCACGTTTTTCAAACCGTTAAATACTATGTTTTTAACAAAAAGTTTCTATGTAGAAATTGTTTTAAAAATTCAAACAAATCTATTTTTAATTTTATAATAGTTAATACTTAATTAATCATATAATAATTAGTTTTTTTGTTTTGTGTGCGTTGAAAATATCTCTCCAAATCGAGAGGGCCTAAGTCAATTTGTGAATGTACTCGTTATTACTCCTACACAAAGCTGCTCCAAGTCAATTTCTAATACAGTTGTACCCTTTCCTTAACCAAAAAGCTAGACTAGATACTCCAAAAAGAAGGAACGAAAAAAGAGCAACGGGAAAAAAATCGCCCGTTGGCACCAGTCGTGCGTTCCAAAGAAAGCGGCATCTCCCCCCCTGGCCCCCCTCCTCGTCTCCGCTCCTCTCTCCACGTGTTGACCAGGCCGAATCGTGGCGCCCGTTACGCTGTTGCGGAAGCTGCCCCCCCCCCCCCCCGCGCGCGCGCGCGCGGACCGACTCGACTCCGACCCACACGCCCCCACCACACCACCCCTCTCCTCTCACCTCACCGCCCCGCCGGCCCCCACATCCTCCTCTCTCTCCCGTCCCGTCGACCCGGCCCCTCCGCCTCCTCCCTCCCATTCCCCCTCTCTCGCCTCGCCTCCTCGTCGTCTTCCTCGCCAACCAGGGCACGGGGGCCTCTCGCTTCTCCCCTCGCCACCTCGGACTCGACCCCGTCCATGACGGCGCCCCTGAGGGATCGCGCAGGCAGCGGATTCGCGCGCGCGGCGGCGTCGTCGTCGCCCTAGAGCGCGCCGCTCCTCCACCACCACCGCCCCCCCCGCGCCGGGCCCGTCCCGTCGCCCCCCCTCCGCCTTCGCCATGTTCGAGGGCCACGTACGATCTCTCCCTCTCTCGCTCGCTCTCATTTCTGTGGTGGCTTCGAGTAGGGCGCTAGGGTGGGTGGTCGCGTTTGATCGAGCGGCGGGCGGGGGTGTAGGTGCCACTTGTCAGGGTTTCGGTGTCGATGTGTGCGTGTGTGTGAGGGGGGGGGGTGATTGCCGAGGCGTACTGGTAGGTTTAGTGGCGATCACGCGACCGGTTCGGGAGAGTTGGAACGCGCTGTGTGCGATTGGTGTGGAACCACGGGGCATTTCGAGGGGGGTCTTGATCAGTTCATGGGTTGAATGTTTATTTATTGTTGAAAGAAACTGAAGATAGAGTTGGCGACTACACTTCTCTTTTCTTTCCTTTAAATACACATTTCCTAGTTTCCCTTGCTTCTAATTGCTAGGAATTTTCGCACATAGTTGTTACATTTAGCCTTTGCTAGTTGCTGCTGAAGCTATAGAAGGAAATGAGAGAGATCATGTCTGCACTGCATCTTATTTACTTTAAGTTTCCAGTTCATGTTGATTCCTAAGCTGGTATGACCTATCATTACATTTATCCTGTACTCATCATGTTGATTCCTAAGCTGGTGTGACCTGTCATTACATTTTATCGTGTACTCATATGAATGCCATTTCCATACTAGAAAGTTGAGATCTACATATTAGTGAGTATTGATAAACATCAGCTAGCAGCGTCTCATATGTAATTGTTTAGTCAAACAGCAGGGTAACTGCTGCATTAATCTTGATCATTTTAGTTGTTTGAGAAGCTTCTCCAGTTGCTTGATGTAATAGTGTGCATGGCTGATAATAGGTCATGTGGTAACATCGCATTTCTAATTTTTCGATCTTTAGTTCTTTACTTTCACATAAGTATACTATTATCTACGGAACGCCGCCACAGGTACAAGTTGCTCATAAGAAAGAGTGAAATGTACAACCACCTCTTATCATGATCCTCATTTGTTCAAAGCAGACCATTGCGACATGCACCGGTAATTAGAGATAGAATGTGATCTGCAGACTGTAGGTGGTGGTTGTTGTTGTGTATGTGTAATGTGTTTTTTTTTTAATTTGGGGGATGGGGGGGGGGTGGGGGTGGGGTGATGACACTGTATAGAATTTATCACGGATGAATTTCAGGTCACCCATCTGTTTCATCTGAGATTTCCCACAACTATGTGGAGTCTAAAAGAGTGCAACTGTACATAGATAGTATTTTGATTTTGCATAGTTATAAAATTCAACATTTTTAACTGTAGGTGCTGTATTTGCTTCGCAAGTATTTGGGCGAATATGTTGAAGGGCTCTCTGTTGAAACACTCCGGATAAGTGTTTGGCAAGGTTTGTTTCTTTCTTTTTTCTCCCATCTCCACCATTACCACCTTATAATATACAATTCTTATGTTAGTTAGTCTACAGTGTTAAAAAGTACTTCTGTCGTGCCAAGAATTGGATGTGACTCTTCATACTTTTCTTCTTGCAACCAGAAGATTTATTCTCAATGGGCACTAACCATTATGCTTATTCGTAGTTAATCTATGGAATAAGGACTATTGCATTATTTGACATCGGGTTGATGTAGGATGGTGTAAGACCAGTAACATACCTGACCGGGATAGGCTATCAATACTTTTGTGTTGTGTTTTGGATTGAATCCAACTCTTTATTCTTGTCCTCTTAAGACAAAAATATAAATTCTCAATCTTATTCAAGGTGCATCTGTTGTGCTTATTGAAGATTAATTTACAGGGAAATGTAGATTGTAGATAATTGACATTGGGTTGTAGGATGTCATAGGAGAAGCAAAATACTTGATCTGAATGGTGCAGTGCCAGTGTACCTTTCTTAAGAATCAATAGTTACCACCCAAATCCAAATGATATCTGTTAACTAAGATTGTAGAATGTGATATTTATATATATATGTGCAGTAGACTGTAGTTCTGGTTATGCCACAATGACATGGAGGTTGGTAATTGTTGGATAATTTGATTTCTAATAGTGATATCTTTTATTATTTTTAGCACTATTTTTCCTTTTTGTTCGTGTGGTAGGTTTCATCTCTCGACTAACCCAAAACCTTCTTGGGACCAAAAGTCGATGTTGTTGTTTTGTTATTGATTCTAAATAGGAATTGCCAGTCAGTTCACATGAAAAACAATTTTGTGGAGGTGCTTCCAGGAAGCCTTGCTGATGAAGAGATCATTTTGCTGTTGAAACACTGCCAACAACAATGTTTTACCATGAAATGACCTGGCAGAACTCTTGGCATCTTGGTGTGGTTCACTAATGTATGCCTTAGTGTGATGTTGCTCATTGCATTCTGAAACAGTGTAGCAGACCATTAACAGCGACATCTGTGCCCAGTTCTCTGTGTTGCAGCCTAGTGTAGCTTGCCTTGGGATAAGGTGCACAGTCCTTCGTGACGCGGTGAGGCCACTGTTCAATGGTTTGGCATGTCAAAATTTGTTTTGGTGGCAACAGAAATCATTACATGCCTCGTGGCAGTAGCACATCGTCTGTGATCCCATGCATCATGTACCCTGCATCACCATGCATAACCCATAGCTCTCTTACAATGTCACATTTGGTGATATTCTTTTTATATTCTCTAGTTTTCAAGTATATGTGTTTTAACTAAACAACTATACACTGGATTACTGGATTTTTCCTTTATGTAGGAAAACTCATGAGTTCACTGTGCTTTTACTCTAAAGCTTTGTTGCTGTATGTGTCCGATGCATTATTTACCCCTCTTAATTCTGTTGAAAGGTGACGTTGTTCTTAAAGACCTAAAATTGAAGGCTGATGCACTGAATTCTCTTCGGCTTCCAGTAACAGTGAAAGCTGGGTTTGTTGGCACCATAACTTTAAAGGTACTTGTTATTTTCTGTTTTCTGAGCCTGACTTATGTTGCCCTAAGTTTTCTGACATGGAAAAACTAGCAGAATACTAGAATCATGCAATTTAACTAAACATAGCCGCAAATAATTTCCTATGTTGCTTTAACTAAACATCAGGAAGCATCAAAATGAGGTATATGTGAATATGCGCACAGACAACTTAACCCCTAGCTTCTTGGTTCTAATGAAGCAGCGCTCATTTTTCTCTCTGGCAACAGCTCCACAGCAAAGAACCTCATTGATAGAAAGTACCAAACAGTGAGAACAAAGGACACGGCAGTAAATTTTGAGGCTTCCTAGGGAGGAAGCACAGATAGAGGATTCCATGAACATTCAAGTTTCAGATTGGCCAGCAAACCAAATCATTCACAGCAGCAACCTTACATAGTCAATCACTTCTTGTGTTATACAGTTGAAATGGGCCTCAAACCTTAGTAAAACTTTATTTAAGGATTCATAAAAGGAACCATCAGCAACTAGCTTTATTGATGAATGTACAGTTACATTCTTTTCATCTAATGGGTACATTGGGAAGCATTTTAAAACGGAAACAAATAGTTGTGTTGTATGTTTTTGGTTTGGCAGGATAGCAAATGATAACATCCTGTGGTTGAATTGCTGAACATGATTTTGCTGCCTGCAGCTTATAATATCAAGTTTGCTACTGTATTTGTTTATCTTGTACCTGTTAATTGTTCACACACAAAAAATATTGATTTTTAATAGGTTCCATGGAAAAGCTTGGGTAAAGAGCCAGTTATTGTTCTTATTGATCGTCTGTTTGTTCTTGCTCATCCTGCCCCTGATGGACAGACTCTGAAGGTATGTAACTATAATTTGGTATTGTGTTATTGGTGATGCCATTTCTATTCTATGCATGTCATTCTTTGTCCCTTATTCTTAATATTTTTCACATTTTTGTGTTAGGAAGAAGATAGAGAGAAACTTTTTGAAGCAAAACTTCAGCAGATTGAGGTTTGTTTGCAACTTCTCTCATGAGTTTTTTACCCCCTTGTTTGAACAGTCAATAGAACTATCTATTATTAGTTAAATTTGAGACTATATGTTGTTAACAAGAAGTCAATACCTCTGAAAGTTCTCCATATCCGAGGAAAATGTTTGTTGGTTTTAATTGCTCCATTTCATAAGGTCTCTTGTAGACTAGTAGGTTCAGAAGTATAGTTTTGGAAGTATTTATTTTTGACAGTACCACTGTAGGAATATTTGATCACCATAATAATGAAATACAATTATATGTGGGGCATTTTTTAATTACTTTAGGCTCTACTTCAATAGGTTGGTATGATGGAACTAAAACTCTGATTTTTTGTTATTTTTCCATTCGAGACAATTTGGTTAATTTGAAATAAGTTAAATAACCTTAAATTGAATGTGTTCTTGTAAGGAATGGGTATTCATCATAATGTATGTTTTGTAGGCACTTGTACTTGGTAGTGTACCTCCTTTTTTTATGTATTTGACCACCTGATGAAATCAACATGCCTAATTGATGTAGCAGAGCAATATTTTCACCATGATATTGTTTATTTGTTAGGTGCTTAATGTATAATATTTGTTTTCTGTTCATTCTTTTGTTGTGACTTGTGAGATCATGTTAGATGTTAGTTGGGTGGTCAGATCACCTATTTTAAACTTGGTTCCGCTTGACCACAAACCAGGTTATGCAGCTTCCTCCAAACTCCTTTCAAGTACATTTATAAACCTTTTCTTTACAAAATATAGCTATCTCCGAATTTATTTGAACAGAAGGAAACAAGAAGTGCGTACAAGACTATGTGTTGACTATTCACTGTATATGAAACATAGCACTTGTATCGAGTAAAATGCAGTTATAATACTACTTGTGGGTGGTGAGTGCATGCAGGCTGCAACGCTTGAGAATTGCTCATTTGAATCACTGAGCTTGCTTAGGTGGTGCACACTAGGGTAATAAAAACCTAACACATGGCCGAAACATGCATTGTGCTGCCTTGTAATCATTCATGGTCATGGTAACTTAAGGTCATAAGCATCAACTGTGCATATGTATTTGCAGAACAGAAAGGTAAAAACATAATATCACATTTATTTTCAATATCGGGATAGAGAGAAAACAAAGAGAAAGGAGGGTGAATCTGAGAGCGGGACACATAAAGAGATGGGTGAGTCAATGCTACTTGTGCGTTTCATTGTCACAGGGTAATATTTTGTGCTGAATGCTCCGCTTAAAACAAGAAAGGTGACTAAGGGGAGCAAACATCAAATTATATGGCCTATGTGCACCCACAGCACGATCTGTTGTACCTATGGCTCAATTTATTCTTTAATTAACATATATTATACGGCATTTGCAAAGCAGAAATGTTGGCCAAGGTTGTCTGGTGCTTGTTAGTCTCGGGTACGGATGCAACTTCAACAGTCTCAGTGTGGTGTGTGTGGCGGGTTTTATAAGGCTTTATATCCTGGTTTCTTCTTTTGATACAATGATACACAGCTCTCCTGCATGTTCGAGGAAAAAAAATTAAACATGGAGCACTGAACTTTTTATGCACAATTTGCAAGTGAGAAATTGCAATTTTATTGGCTTCCAGGAGCTGGTACAATACAATAGTGTTTGTAAAAGTAGTCATGCAATGTGTGGTACATTCAAGTGACGAGTGTGTATCATTTAGGTTAATTTAGGTCAGATGGGACTGAGGTGAGAGCTGACCTCCAAGAGTCAAATGTTTCATAGTGATCTGTAATGCAATCATACGAGAGTTGAAACTGTTCCACATATTTGCATTATATGCTTTAGCAATCATTATATGGAATTATAGCTTTATGAACCAGATTTTTACTTTTATTGTTTTCTTGCTTTTATCTTCTGCTTCACCTATTTTATTTCTCTGCTTCCCCTCAAAGATAATGCTCACGATCATCTTTATGCAAAGCTCAAGCTCTAATGGTCTTATCCGCAGGCTGCAGAGGCAGCAACTCTTGAAGCAACAAGTAGGAGCTCGAAAGGAGGACCTGTATGATTTTTTTCTCCTGTTTCTCTCACAAAGCTTAATTCTAGTATTCTATTTCGATATTCTGGCAAGCAATACTCTGATAGTTGTGAACAGTTATGACATTTGGAAATTACATCATACTTCCCCATTGTAATGGATGCCAAAAAAAAGTGCCCTATAGTCTGAAGATCAAAATGCAAAACATATGCTGAATCAATCAGTGAATATATATGCACTTGCAAAGAATACAAATATTACAAAAGAGCATGCAAACATGAAAGTCATGCTACATATATCAGTGACATGTTGAATACACCATCACCTCACCTCATTTTATAAGAGTAAAAGATGATGTCAACAAGTGCAATCATAATCATATAAAAACAAACTTCTTGAGGCACAATATTAGAGCAATTTTAGGTGCCCATAGATGGATATCATGTTTCTTCTTGAAGTTGTAATATTACATTCGAGTGTATGGTCAGGTTGATGGCCTTTGATATTAATTTCTTTTTTCATAAACAATATTGCTGGAGCTCTCCTGTTAATTGACCGTGTGCCAATTCTTTCCAATTTCCCTATTCATTCATTCATTCATTCATTCATTCATTAATGGCTAAATATTCTAGCTCAGACGTGTTTTTTATTTAGGTTGTATTTTTAAATTTGATAAATATTGAAGTACCTATACCTTTGATGTAAGAATATTTCCTGTTCATTGCTTGCCTTCCTAATGATTTGATGGAAGAATTTATTGTTTATCTCAATTTCTTTTTGTCATAACTTAAAACAAATAAATAGTGTTACCCGGGAGGATAATTTTGTGAAGACAATTCGAATTTGATCTTGCTCCTTTGTTGTCACTCTATCTGGCTGCTCTTGCATGCCAAGGCAGCGATTCTCCTGTCCAGCTGAAGCTAGCCTGTTACTTTTAGTCCATTGTCCTGACTTACTTGAAGTTGTGGTTATGGTGCTATTTGTCTGCCAGCGGGTGACTACACATTAATGACTAATTGATGACTTGATTATAGTCGATTCCATGAAAGCATGCTGTTTTAGTGGAAAACAAAATTGTGGTCCTGGGGATATTTGTCCATTTGAAGTTATTGTTCTGTCTGTAGCTCTAACTGTGATGATGGGAAAAAAACAACTTTTTTTTTTTGGATTATCCTTTGACTCCATGACACTAAGTTTTATCATATAGTACAGGTTTAAAGTATTATAGCATCTGAACATGCACTTTGTCTTAAACTTTGTAGGTCAATAGTTCTAAAAGGTTAGCTGTGAAAGTTCAAGTTGGGTTTTGGTGTTTCTGGATGTCCATTACTGTTTTTAATACCTATTATGGTTTCTGTCATTTCTCTTATTTGTCTGTTCGATTGTTTAATATGGATTACACACATTTTTGTTGCTTGTTTTTTGATAGTGCTTGTTGGATGCTGCAGGTACCAGGGAGTAATTCATGGCTATACAATTTAATATCAACAATTATTGGAAACCTTAAAGTCACCATCAGCAACGTGCATATCAGATATGAAGATTCTGTCAGGTATGCTAAGTCATTTGCACACTTTTTTAGTCTTTCTTTTATCCCAATGTCTTCCGTAAATTTATTCTTTGTTTTTCTACCAGCAATTCTGGGCATCCATTTGCATCTGGCTTCACGTTGTCAAGACTTGCAGCCGTTACAGTCGACGAAGACGGTAACGAGACATTTGATGCTGGTGTAGCATTAGATAAGCTGCGGAAGGTGAGAACAAATTTATGTAACATTTAACTGTATGTTCTGTTATTTTTTAACCTGCCTCGATAGGCATCTCATCTCCTATGCAAAGGTATGTAGATTGCCTCTTGGTTACCTGGCCATAGCATATGATCAGCATACAATTGTTATTTAGACTTTGAGATAAATGCTCCTCTGTCCCTAAATTGGTACTCCCTCCGTACTCATAAAGGAAGTCGTTTAGGACAATGTTTAAGTCAAACCTTGGGAATATAAATCATAAATAACTCTCAAGTTGTTGAGTTTGAAAATGTAAAAATTATATGAATAGATTTGTCTTGAAAAATACTTTCATAAAAGTATATATATATCACTTTTCAATAAATATTTTTATAGAAACAAGAAGTCAAAGTTGTGTTTTGGAGACCGTGTCGCTGTCCTAAACGACTTCCTTTATGAGTATGGAGGGAGTATGGTTTAGAACCCGTGCACCTTTTGACTTTCAACCACCAGTACAGAACTGCACACAAATATTTAGTTAAAACTAACCCTATAATATTGTATTTACTAGAATATATTGCAATTAATTCTAATGATCAAAGCTGCAAGTGAATGTATTGAATTGATTTTCTAGATCTAAGTGAAAGAACTTGAGTGGAAAAAATAATGGTGGAATTGGCAAATCGTAGCTACAACTATGAGAAATCAGGGAAGAAAGCCTTGTCAAAAAAATAGCGAAGAAATGTAACATCTCAATGCATAATCTGCTCCCTTTGAGCCACCGAGGGTTTTAATATGATCCCAGTATTAAGGTTGCGCTGCTGTAGTCCATCATCATGTGATAAATTAGTAACAAAACTGAGGTGGATCAGTGGATCATCATGCGTAAATGCTACTAGTAGAACTATTAAGAGCCATATATCATTATAAGTTCCAACATATTGCCATTCTCTTTTTCTTGGTTCCAACTTCAACTTAAACTCCAGCTCTGTTATGCCTAGCTTGTTACTGATCCTGAGACATTCGACCATTTTCTGCCCTTCTGCATGGTTTTATATAGGGCATCTTTTTTGCCGGGATGACCGAAGGAGGTCCCAAATGTTATTAAGATTGAGGGAATATATAGGGAATCTAACATGAACATGGTGGTGTCAAAATTCAAGCGCTGATTGATCAAATTAAAATAAGGGTTAGATAATGTTCATCAAGACTTGAGTAAAATTCTGTAATACCTCCTTATATACCATGGTTCTACAGCGATATGGTGTACATTGGAACTAAATTTGGTTGGCCTTTCACCAGGTTTATGTTTTGTTTATCATTGTTATTGTGCTCTTGGACCTTTTTCTTTTCTTCTGAATGCTTGCTTATGTGATACTTGTGAAGCTATTGTTGGCCTTTTGCCATTTTTTGAGCTTGTTTGGACAGATTATATCACAAGTTCACAAACACAATATTAATAATCAATTGGTTCATAAACTCCGATATTCTTTTAGTTTATTCCCCATCTGATCATCTGCTTTTGCTTTATTATTATTATTATCTTTATTTATAACCAATGCATTTATGTTCTTTTTTGGCCCTTATTTAGTCGGTCGAACTGCATAGGCTAGCCATCTACCATGATTCTGACAGCAGCGCGTGGAAGCTTGCTAAGAAATGGGAAGATCTAAATCCTACTGAATGGGGCGAGGTTATATATTTGTCTTTCATAACAACTTCATTCTTCAGTACCTGTTCGCTGCTTCTTATCCTAGAATGATCTCCCACAGATATTTCAAGATGGCATTGATGATCATTCTGGCAATTCTGTTTGGGCAATGAATAGGAACTATTTAGTTTACCCTATAAATGGAACTCTTAACTACAAACGACTTGGAAAGCAGGAGAGAGGGGGTCCAGATATCCCTTTAGAGAAAGCATCACTTGTTCTTAGTGATGTTTCACTAACTGTTACTGAGGTACCTTGGAATTGTGCCTTCTCCATCAGTTAAATTGTGAAATTGACCAAGTGCTTACTCTCTTTACACTATTGCACCAGGCCCAGTATTATGATGGCATTAAACTGTTGGAAACATTTTCAAGGTTCAGGACACGTGTTGACGTGTCCCATTTACGGCCTATTGTGCCAGTTAAAGTGGATTGCCGTGCTTGGTGGCGTTATGCTGTGCTGGCTGGTCTGCGACAGAAAAAATTATGGTATTGATCTTATTCGAAATTCAGCTTCCTGTTAAACTCTGGAAAGATTAGAACAAAAAACGAGCGGCAATAGAATGTGCTCGACTTGCCATAAGCCATGTGCAGGAATGAGGAGGGAGATAATGATGTTCTGGTTCTTGCTGGCATTCTTGACGCAGGATTAATTCTCCATAATTGTCCAAACACATCATCCACAATAACTTGGCCCAAAAGTTGAATGATTAGGCAACATGCTGACTTGGACTCTTAGGCTAACACTGTCTGAACTAACTAATCAGCTAACCTAGCTGAACTAGCCAAACACCTTCTACCTAATTACTCGAGGAACAAACATAATTCATCTAACTGAATAACTAGCCTATCTCTGCTCAGGAGCTTAGAACTCATCTAATTAAGTAATTATTGACCGTGAACTTAACATCTTCCCCAGATTTACTGGAGTTATGTCCCTGCTTGAACTAGTATAGCATCCTGAAGAACACTACTGCACTACCCACTTTGACCCTCCTTTTCAATCATCCATGGCCTTTGCCCCTCAATCCCATTGATCAGGTTCCAAGTAAGCTTGGTTGTGGCTGATTTTTGCCCCTCCCCCCCTACTTCAGCTGGATGGTGCTTAATGCCTATTTAAGCTTGATGGCTACTTAGTGATAGTAACTGGACATTGGCTTCAAAGATGACTGATGCCTAGCGCCTAAGTATTGTTGCCTGGGAGAGCTAGGTGGCTATCTTTATAGCAGTATGCTAATTGCCAGTGCCACTCGTACTTGGTGGCAGGCTGGCAGCAGGTGAAGCTTGCTGTTGGTGGGCCCCAGGTATGCGTAGGTGGGTGAAGGAACATTTGTGCATCATGTCATTCTAATGGATGTAAAACATTTACATTCCGTGAAGAATCTGTGCTAATCCACAGATCATCAGTTCCCTGACAAACCCATTGCCATGGTCAGCTCATTGGCACATGGAATTTGCATTGATGGTAGTTGATACAGCATGTGAAGCAACCCATGTCTGTGGGGTAGTGCATTTAAAGGACAGCATGGAGTTACAACAACGTACAGCACAAGTGGTACAAGGAACTCGGGGGGAGCGTAGCTGCGTAGGAGGTTTGCATTCCATGTTATTACCCTTGGTGGCCTTGGGTTTTTAGTGGTATAAAAAGTGGAGGTGTGGTTTTTTGACTTTTTTCTTTCTAAATGCCAGTCGAACCCAATTACTATGTTCTGTCTAACAGAATTGGTTCCGTCAACCAGGCGAATTGGCCCTTGTAAGGATGGATTGGGATTATGTTGCAAGCTACACTTTAGGCTCTTAGCATCACCTGAGAACATTTGCTACAATCAGTCTGTCAACTGTTATTTTTTTCTTTTCATGGCGCTACATTGATCAATTTTTGACAAAATCATGTGTGATTATATCATCATGGACTGTGTGTTGCATTTTTCTTGCATCTTGGAGGCAATTACTTGAATTGTGTAGATATTTTGATGCAAAAAATTATATATGCTGTCATCTTTCTTTACAAATTAGGATTTCTTCCTTATGAAATTTGTTTATTCTTTTTTCAGCTATTGGTTCTCATGGGAGAGAACTAGGCATCTCTGCCAGCTTCGTCGACGCTATGTTCACTTGTATGCCACATTATTGCAACAAGCATCTAATGTTGATATGTCCGAAATTCGGCAGATAGAGAAAATTCTGGACACAAAAGTCATAATACTTTGGAGGTGCGGTACAGAACATGTACATGTATCTTTTGTAACCTTTTGCTTTCATTTGGGTCACCATTCATCTGGTTATGGTATTGCTATAATTAAATACTTTCAGGTTGTTGGGACATGCTAAAGTTGAGACCGTGAAATCAAAGGAAATATTACATAAGAAGGGGGCATCAAAGAGAAGATGGTGGACTTTTGGATGGTTTGTCCAATAAGTTGATAATAATATCTGTACCTTTATTGTTCATTGCTTCTGTCTATTTTTAAGATACTAATTTTTTTATGGTACCATTCTATATTATGTTCATTGTGGCAGCTATTCTCATTTTTCTGTACTATTGCTCCTTTGAGGTGTACTCATAGAAATAGGCAGAAAGATATTCTTTTTAACTTAGGTTCCCAATCTTGTTGGTAACTTCTGTGCAACTTAAATGGTTTAGTTTGTAGATGGTAGGACTAATGAAACTTGTATGCCAATGCTTGCCAACTTTTTCATTAAGCATTGCACATGGGAGCATCACTTAGTTAAATTTGGAGGAGGATAAAAGTAACAATACGTGATCAAATGAAGTTTTTACTCATTCTAGCAACCATTAGTTCTTTTTCCCTGTTAGTTTCAAGTTGCAGGTTCCAAAGTTCCTTTGCAACAATACAGTAATAAGCAACTATATGTAGGCAATCCTTATACCTGCTTTTAGGTGTGTGTATAGCAGTACATTTATCTCCTATTATATGGTTATCTGTGCATTTTTACCTACAAGCCAATCGTATATCTTTGGCTTATTGGCCTGCTGGAATCTAGGGCCCATTGCAACACCTGCTACTTGTTGGTTAGTGATACTGCATAGTGTGCCTAATGTTTGCAAAAAAGACGCGAATATTAGGGAAGGACCTAATATCAAATAATTAGAAGGGGTGAGGCTTCGAACCTAGGTCGTCTAGCCCACCACCTTGTCGAGCTAGCCGGAAGACCCCTGGGCGTTTCTCGTGCCTAATTTTTGCTGTTACTGCTTTTTTTTGGGCCATTAGTTTACTGCAGGTTGCAGAATAACAATGGTGTGAAGCAGCCTTGCTACTAAAAATACCTTTTTTCTTAACCTTGAAACAGTAGGGGAGGCCCCAACGGTATACTAATTTTATAAGGTACTAGCAAAATATCCATGTGTTGCAATGGGCAAAGACAATTTTAAAATAACTGAACAAAATTACTCAATCCAGTCGTAAATATTTGATGTTTTATGATATGATTTGGTCAACTTTTTAAAATTCTAATCATCAATAATTTCTCATATACTTAGGGTAACAAATGCTACATGTAAAAGGAAAATTAGTGTGTATGGTTGATGAATTGTGAAGGGAAATTAGCGTTGTTTGTACATGTTTAGTTATGAAACACAATTCTTTTTTGTAGTAGTGTGTGATGGCTTGTGTTGGTTAATTTATTAGTGTGTACATGGTTGGGTCACGGAAAATCTATTAGTTAGATGGTTATTTCGTCTACTGATATTAGAGGTTTGAAGTCAATCTTGATTAATGGTTTGGGTAAGGATTATGCTGAATGAGAAGCCAAGGCATGGCACACAAGCACTGGATGGAAGGATTAATGTGATGGGTACGCAAGTCGATAAGTACAGGTGCCAAAAATCACAAAGAGAAAACTATCGAAAATGAAAAGAGAAGAGAAGAGATCCAACTGAAATTATAAGAGGATAGCGTTTCACCTAGGGGTACCGGTCGGGTTACTGTTTCCGTGGAAACCTTTTGTCGCTTCACACACATAAGTGGTCAAAGCTGCATGGTTTTGGGCAGCAGGCCCATCAGGCCAGTGGGGCACGACTGGCCAGGGCAGTGGCCTAGCTAGAGGTGCAAGCTCAGTTGGTGATGATGGGCTGAAGGTCACCTGGCCATGCCGGTTGAGGGAGGAGCGAGAGGCTCCGTCTTACGTACGGGAGGATGTGTAGAGAGTGCCCATCTTTATGCGAGCGTGCGGGGTATGAGACCGACTCGATCACAGAGGTGACAGACGAAAAAACATGCAAAAGCGTTATCAATTTTTATAATAGTAGCGATATTTACACAAAACTTAAAAATACTAATTTAATTAAAGTGCCTGCTTATTGCTCCCCTGAATTTAGGCAATCGATGGGTACATACATGAAAGGAAAGTACTTTATTGACATGTTGCCAAAGACAATTTTGTTTTTAGGACAGTTATAAGTTGCTCAGAAAGCAGCTTTTCATTTCATATATAACTTCAACCAAATCATTTCTTTCATTGAGTGTGATTTCACATATATCTTTCGGTTTAGTGACATTATAACGAGCAAATTGTATAGATGATCAATGTGGCCATTGTTAACTTGTTGGGAGTAATTTATTACTAGTATTTATTTTGTGAACAATGGATAGTTTCATGAGTGCATATGAATCATTTTTTGTCACATCATAATTATGCTTGTTTTCTTGTTTAAGGAACTCGGCTGAATTACCTTCTGAAGAGAATGCCCTTCTAGAACCGCAGTTAGATGAGGAGGAGAGATTAACAAAAGAAGAATGGCAGGCCATTAATAAGCTGTTGAGTTACCAACCAGAAGATGATCTGTCTTCCCCCCTTGAAAAAGTCTCCCCGAATACAACCCGATTCTTGGTGGATGTGTCTATTGGCCAAGCTGCTGCAAGGATCATCAATATTGACCGGACAGAAATTTTGTGTGGTAGATTTGAGAAACTTCAAGTGGTCACGAAATTGTATCCCAAGAGTACGCGGTGTGATGTTACTTTGAGATATTGTGGTTTGTCTTCTCCTGAAGGTTCTCTTGCTCAGGTCAGTGAATATGAAGCGATTGTTTGAATTTCTTGCTGCAAACCTCCTATGGACTCTAGGATGTGACTCAGAAAAATGCCACTTCATCTGTAGCACGAAATATATTGTTTATCTGTTGAATGCAAGTTTTCGTCAACCATATTGTTTAATTAGCAAACCGCAATTGGTACATTATTATATACAAGGTTCTAGGTGGCTAGCCATCAAACATTTAAATTAGGTTGCACCTGACCTTATAGATGATGGCTATCCACTTAATTACTAAGTATTACTCCTTGCTTTTATTTTTGGGTGTCTGATGGCCATTGCAGTTGCATGAGCTATGATGTTGCAAATAAGAAGTGTTATTTCCAGTGTTACATTGCTCAACATTTTTTTTCATTTCATGAATGCCTTCTATCCCTACATTTATGTTTTGGAATAATATCTATTTTTGCAGAGTGTTGTCAGTGAGGGAAAGAGTAATGCTCTAGATGTCAGTTTTGTGCGTGCGCCTGTCGGCTTGGACCTGGATTGGCAGCTCGTGGCAAAGATATCACCATGCCATGTTACGGTTTGTATCTTGTGTTCATTATGCTTTTAGGACTAAATTCACTTCCTCATGTCACATTTTAGTAGGATTTTGAGAAAGCTCTGGAGGTGAATTACTTTCATCGCTATTCCTTAATGCACATGCTTTATCAGGCTATTGCATTTTTTTTATGTACATGGCATAATAATGTGTTTTTTCGGTAGGTTTTGAAGGGAAGCTATGAACGGTTTCTAGAGTTCATTAAACGGAGCAAAGCTGTTAGCCCAACAGTAACCATGGAAACAGCAACTGCTCTACAGGCAAGTTTACTTTCGAATTTGGATACTCATGACCATGTTGTGGAACAGTTTGTTTGATATTTCGTCGTTACTATTTGGATATATAGGACGCTATAGTCATAATGATTGATCATATCTTTTGAACTGCAGATGAAGATAGAGCAGGTCACACGTAGAGCTCAGGAGCAGCTTCAGATGGTATTGGAAGAGCAGAGCAGGTACATGTATTCTCATTATCTACGCTCAATCTTAATGGCCTTGAGTTCTATACTCTTGTTTAGTGTGCATGATCTGTTTAAATGTGAGATACATATATGAAAGGAAGACTTTTTACATCAGTTTTCTTTACTTATTCATGAACTGCCATGAATAATTAAGCATTCTTGTTCGTGTCCTAATTGTTTGACAAAATGTTACTTTCATCCTGCTTTCTTATGTTTTCCAAGTTGTTATTTTTTCTTGCAATCTTATTTTGTTATGGTTAAGAAATTTCCAATATCCATAACTTGCTTGTAACAGTGTTATGATGTCTTTATGTTGGCTGACTGTTTATTGTTCTGTTTCTAGTTTTGGACTTGATATTGATTTGGATGCACCAAAAGTTAGGATTCCTTTAATCACTTGTCAACCTTTGCTGGGGAATGAACATTTTGTTCTGGATTTAGGCCATTTTACGTTGCATACAAGGGTAAGTTACCTCATGAATTCTTGATGCAAGTGCTGTTTCTTTTCCTAACCCCATGCCATTGAATTATAGGACGGCACACGTGAAGAGGAAAGACGCAGTTTATATTCACGGTTTTATATTGCTGGGAGGGATATGGCTGCTTTTGTTGTTTGTGATACAGCTGAAGACATATATTCTGTACCAGAAAATCAGCGTGTGCTGTCAGGTCCTACTGTTGATGCTAATCAGTTTTGTTCTCTTCTAGATCGTTGTGGAATGTCAGTGATAATTGATCAGGTAACATAAATGGAAGTATTTTAATATTGTCAAGTCTTTAAGTACTGATTATTTGTGGTTTGAAATACTCAGTTATTCCTTGGCTTACTGAAGAATGGGAGTTGTCATATCATTTCCCCCTTGCATGGGCATTGATCCTTTTTTTTTTTCTTTTGGAACCTTTGCTTGTAGGATGCTCTGTTACATACCATATGCTGTAACATTTGCTTGTAGGATGCTCTATTGTATACCATAAGCTATAGTTGCTCTGGTGGTTGCAGTGGACTAGCGGGCCTCAGATTGGTTCTATAATTCTATTCACAATCTATAGCTATCTAAAACCACTAGATGGAGGCATACATTGAACTTCAACATCTGGACACCACATACTAAACTGCATGTCAATGTAGACTTGGGGTATCTGGTTAGGCTTTGGGCTAAGACATATGGAATTACAACACTTATCAAACAATCTGTACCTTACTACAGTCATCATTGGCTGAAAATAAGAGATACTCCCTCCATTCCATAAAAAACCAACCTAGTACTGGATGTGACACATCCTAGTACTATGAATCTGGACTTATCTCCAGATTCGTAGTACTAAGATATACATCCGGTACTAAGTTGGTTTTTTATCGGACGGAGGGCATATATGGCTTTAGCAAAGAAGAGAGAGCTAGCATTTATTGTAGTTGAGGGGATCAATTGTATATTTTTGTAGGCTGAGTAAATCTAATGGCTTGCACACATACTTTAAGTTGCTCTTGTTATCGGAACATTTTATATGTTTCAGCAAAGAATCTAATAGCTTCAACAAAGAATAGAAAGCTAGAATTGAGAACTATTTGTTGGAGCAGTGCATCATGCTGTTGTCATAGAAACAATTTATATGTTTTTAATGTTTTGTTCCTTTTTTCCCTAAGGGAGGAAATAGTGGGAACAAACTCCATGAAATAAATTGTCCTTGCACTTCATACTGTTACTGTTTTATACTTCTACGTAGACACTTAGGGATGCATCGCTGTTAACTTTTTAGTGATTGTAATGCAAATTATTCTGTACGGGTGTTATACTGTATTGACTGTCCTATTCTGTGATTGCTTGAAGATCAAAGTTCCACACCCGAGTTATCCATCAACTCGTGTTTCTTTTCAAGTGCCGAATCTGGATATTCACTTCTCACCAAAAAGATACGGCAAGATTGTTGAACTACTTGGTGTACTTTGCAAGTTGAAGGGAAGTGATAGTGAAGATTCTGATAGCTGTGAAAATTGTAACCTGGCACCTTGGTATCCTGCTGATCTAGCTGGTGATGCTAGAACATTGGTTTGGAAGGTATTGCCTTGTCTTTCTTTTCTTGAGTGCTCTTCTCATATGATGCATTTATGCAGTACAGTAACAGAGTTTTGTATATTTTATTTTGGATGCAAGGGTCTTGGTTATTCGCTAGCTGAATGGCATACAAGTTATGTTGTATTATCTGGGATGTATCTGTACATCTTGGAGTCTGAAGTGTCCCAGGATTACCAAAGGTGTTGTAGGTATGTACTGCAATCTTTTCATCATTATCTTCATGTTGAATGAAGCAATGATGAAATTCTCTGTTGTTCTCAGTCTAAACTATGTGCAACTTCATGTCTATGCACATGAGTGGTAGGGACTATGATTGACATAGTACTATGCAGCATTGTTTCTGGATGTGATCATTTGTTGGTATTGATTTTTTTTAATTAATGAACGAATATTTTGGGTTAGTGTACTAATAAAGTGTAAGAAGTCATTTTGAGAAGTTTTGGAACATTAGAGATAGTAGGATTTTATTTCCGTAGATGTGGGTAGAATTCTCCCTTCCTGTTTTAGAGAAAAGGCTGAAGGTACTGGAATAATTTTAAGCACATACCCTTCTAGTGGTACACAATCAAGTTTATTCCCTTTTCTGCATTTGCGAATGCTTGCTCTGTTTTTTATTTATGTATTTTTTGATGTTTGATGTTGCAGCATGGCTAGCCGTCAAGTAATTGAGGTTCCATCAACTAGTGTTGGTGGGTCTCTTTACAGTATTGCTGTGTGTTCTAGAGGTGTGGACATGCAGAAGGTATACCATTTAACCTTCCGGGTATTATTTTTACTTTGGGTTGCCTATGCAGAAGGTATACTATTCAACTGTGCTGTTTGGCTTCTTCTAATTCCACTCACTGGAGAGTTTACTTCCCTGAATGATACCAAAACAGCAGATCCAAATTATAAGAAATCCTATGGAATCTACAAGTGCTGAATTCCTGATTTGCCTCCTGTTTTCTTCATCCCCCTCCCTTCTCAATTCTGTTGATGCCAAATTGCTTAGTAATTGTTCAATAGATTTCATGAGGAATAGAAGAAAAGGCTGCATCTTGTTTCAACACACCATTAGTAGGATGCTAGTGGTTGGGAGGCAGGATTTCCCTGAGATGGTAAATGAAAACGATTTGCCCCATACGAGGTTTGGGAATAAGTGATGAGTAAGAAATATACATCTTTATGCTAAAGAGGATCTATTAAACTCATAATTCATTAGATCGTTGTTATCAATGTCAACTAGGTAGAGATTTGGTTCACTGCTTTAGGTATTAGGACTATGGCTTTCAATCTAAATGGGTTCAATTTCAACCATCTGTAGTTGATAGCCAAGGTCGCGTTATTTATACTTGGGCTGATATCATCAACCGTGCAAATCTTGCTATGGAAGTAATGCACGAACGTAATGCTCACCACGAAATTCTGAGGAAAAGGTGCATCATCCATGGATGTATAGCATGCAGCAACAGGGGGCAAAAGGGGGGGGGGGGATCCTGTAGGAGTCTAGGTGAAGAAGAATGAGAGGGGATTTTCCCCAAAACGTAAAGGCTTTTCTCTCTTACAGCTTTCTAACAGTGTGGTGATGGCAATGACAAAAAAAAAAATTCTGTAGCATATAAAGGAAGAGTCTGGACAACTTTTGCTGGTAAAGTGTTCAATATGGTTTATTATAGATGATAAACAGATCGTTACATAATCCTAGGAAAGAGCTAGCAGATGGAGATGCCTTTGGTAGGAAAGTAGGCGCAGAGAACAGTACTCTCTCCATCCCCAAATATAGCTACCATTAACATTTGAATTTCGTCCCAAAATTTAACTACTCCCTCCATCCCAGAATATAAGAAGTTTTAGGGTTGGACACGGTTATTAAGAAAGTAGGTAGAAGTGAGTGGTGGAGGGTTGTGATTGGATGAGTAGTGGAGGTAGGTGGGAAAAGTGTGTGGTGGAGGGTTGTGATTGGTTGGGAAGAGAATGTTGGTGGAGAAGTTGTTATATTTTGGGACAAATCCTGAGGGCAAAGTTGTTATATTTTGGGACAGAGGGAGTACTTCTCCACCTACTTCCTCATCTCAACTAATCACAACCATTTCTCATTTAATTTCTCCACTTACTTTCTCATCTCACCTCATTTTATTTTATCTTTCTCCTTCATTACTTTCTCATCTCACCTCATTTTGTTTTATCTTTCTCCTTAACTTGCGTCTAACTCCAAAAGTCCTTATATTTTCGGTCGGATGGAGTATGTAGTAATGTTAGTGATTAAGTCTAGCGACCTGTCCGTTCTCTCCTCTTGTCTGGGTGGTGGGTACAATGAGATCCAATGAACTAGTAAACGAGAGAAGATGGTAAAATCAATAGCTACTTCCTACTAGTTCTTGATCAAGTTCTAAAACTGCCAGATTTAACAACGATGTCATACAGTGATGAGTCACGCCCATCTGGAGATCCCTGTAGTGCCGAGCAGTGGAATGTAGAACTGAAGTGCCAGGAAGAAGTTGATAAACCATCGTGCAGAGAAGTGCACATCTGATCCTGGCAATTATGAGTCAAGTAGGCCATGTGCCAACAATGGAGACGAGGAAGCAGAAACAACAAAATCAGTCAAAGAAGACGTTCTCACCATGGTATATCAGTTTTAGTAGCAAGAAGAAGATGATGAGTTGGATCAGGTGGGCCATGTTATAGCTAGCGCTACACCTAAGGAAGTTTAACAGTCAAAAGCTCGGGTTGGGGTACCATTGTCTTGACAAAATCTACTGAAGGAATACTTAGTTCTTTTGAAGTGTTGCCGTATAACTTGTTTTTTATTCCCTTTTTGATCTGAGCATTGTTCCATTTGCAGGCGCTGGAATCAACTAGCACACTGATAATTGAATACCATAATGAAATCGAGAAGGCCAATTGGATGAAAGCGCTTGTCCAAGCAACATATCAAGCTTCTGTAAGCGTTCCTTTACTTTATAATGTTTAACATAGGACCTGAAGTTTGTATATAGTTTGTCTGATGGTATTTCTCCACTTTCTTGTAGGCCCCTCCTGAAGTGAACATACTAGGAGACCCTGTCAGTACAACAGAACCAAGCACTCCAAGGCTGAGCAGCTTGGGATCAGTGGATCTTCTTGTGAATGGTTCTGTGGTTGAAACGAAGCTTTCGCTGTATGCAAAGGTATACTTCTAATTTGTTTTGAATTGCCATCTTGACATCTTATTTGTTCATGAGATAGTTTGTTCTTACTGGACTTGTCATGTTCTAGTCATTCTAATGCTTATTGTTTCATTGACTTCTTGTTATCTATGCATTTCTTTCAGTTGGACAGGAAGAAGAAAGATCCAGAAGAGGTTGTAATGTTAGAGCTCCTTGGAAGTGGAGGCAAGGTGATTTGCTTCAATTCTATTTTTGTTTGCATTCAACAAAAAAACAGAAAAGGAATTGAACATTACACCTCCATTTTGCACTATAAGTTCAAAAGCTAACATGTGCATAGACAAACGAGGGGAACACTTGGTAACTAAACCTGATTCCTGAATAAACTTACTTGGTGAAACTGTAGTTCCCTAGGAAATGGTTCTATATCGTGAGATGTTGGGATATTCGTCAGTTGCAATCCACCCTAGGCTTGGAAGAGTAGGTCAGGTTCCCAAAACAGGTTGACCCAGCACAAGTTTTGATGTGGTATTGGTTAAGATACCAGACTGGGTTGAAACAATGTTTGCCACACCTTTGTTGAAATGAAACTCTGCCCTCCCCCCAACTTCCCCTCCAAAAGTAGAGTTTCTATTCACTTTCTTTTGTTTCTTTTTTATAGCAAAAAGTAACGGAAGGCTTTATGCATCTCACTATCCTAAACTTATCCGTACATCTTTTCCATTTAGGTGATTCCCTGTGCTTTGCTACAGGAATTACTAAGCAATTTTCTATATACTTTTTTTCGACAATCGAGCTAGGAGTAAATAGAAAAATAATAATGAAACATTAGAGTTCATTAGTACTTATCATGAAATAAACAAATGATACCCGTGCTGTAATGTGGAACATATTGATAAGTATATGTTAAATATTATAAAAATGATAGATAGATTTGTTAAAATATTATGGAAATGATGTGAGGGGTGATGATTGGATGTGCTTGCATGTTGATTTGTAGAATTAAATAGATTGTAGATGATGTTGCATGCTTGCATGAAGTTAAATATGTAATTACTGCTAGTGGGTGATGATGTGGCATGTTTGCATGTAGCTTTAGAGTTAGTGGTGTTAGTAGCAAAATCTTTACTCTCATTGAGAGGATGGCACTAGGAGAGTTGGGGCAATTTTCTGTCTATTTTCTTGGATACATATTTATAGTAGTAGCTAGCTGGCTGCAGCTAGTCTAGGGCATCCAGTCAAGATGTTGTCCTCTAAAACAGAAAGTGAAGATGCTGTCCTCTAAAACAGAAAGTGAGGATGCTGTCCTCTAACACCGACTAAAAGCTGAAAAGCTATGACATCCTAAAAGCTGGAAAAAGCAAAAAAGGAATGCAAAGACTAGACTAAGACTTATTCCATCAAGTGGGTTGTAACTTTATTGAAAGTATAGATAGATAGATATCTAGTATGTGTACTTCGTAGATATTTTTGCGCTTGTATCTAGTTATGAATTACTCACTCTTGCTAAGTTCTGAATAACATTTTGATCTTGTTTGATAGGTGTTTTTTTTCCTCTTTATTTTTCCATGTTAATGGCAAATTGGTTAGCGTTGTGGTGGATAAGACAGTTTATGAGCTGAGTATGTGTGATTTGGTCCAATAATTTGCCAAGCTAGTTGGTGCAATTTAGTACAAGAAGTTGCAAAGCAAGTCAGTGGGTTGTGCTAGGTTTGCTGCAATAGCTGAGTATTTGCGATGTGGACAAGGCAAGCTTCACGTGTGCCTCTTGCCCAGGTGGTCAGTTAATGTAGCCCATAATTTCTGATGACACATCATGTGGCTAAAAACACACTTGTCAAGTTTCTCCACCAGCCCAGTTTGCAATTTGCATTGTATATATCATACCCAGTCACCAAGAATAAGTACCTGCAGCCCAGTTTACTCTCTTGTCAATGGATAGTGGCCTAGTGTGCCAAAGCATTCTCGAAAACTATGGAGTTGTTAATATTTGTTTTTTTTCTCGAAAACGCAAGAGAATTGCATTTCATTTCATTTCATTAAGGGGAAGAAAAATAAAGGAAAAAAAAAGTAGGAGATACCAAAACCTTCCTACACACCCACGCCCCGGCCAACCCCGGCCAATTAGGTGCCTAGGTTTGCTGAACCACTAAGAAACTTTGGAGGGCAGACGCCCACGCTAAACACCAAAGATTACCCTCGTTCTCGACCACCTGCAAGACCGTCGCAACATTAGGACTTAGTGCCATTGAAAACACAGTCATTGCGATGCTTCCAAATCTCCCAAGCCACTAAGATAACCAAGGAGTTGAGCCCTTTTCGCACGTCCTTTGGCCGGTATTTTGTAGATTGGCTCCACCACCTCAAAAAACAATCGGATGAAGGTTGAGGCACTATACCAGAGATCCCTAGCTTCAAGAACAGAGGTGTCCACACTTGGCGGGAAAAGACACAAGAGATCAAAATGTGTTGGATGGATTCTTCACTTTGATCACAAAGGGGACCGGCCGCGGGGTGCTGCAGTCTGCACTTCGCAAGCCTGTCGGCTGTCCAACATCTATTATTGATGGCCAACCAGAGGAACTTACAGCGAAGAGGAGCCCAACTCTTCCAAATGCGTTTCCAAGGAGCAAACTTGATCGATCCCAGGAAATATAAGCTTCATAGGTAGATTTACAAGTATACATCCCATCGGCGGTTAGCTTCCAAACATGCTGGTCTTGTACATCTTGTAGCAGAACCACCTGTGTCTACCAAAGACCAAATGGTCAAGTACTCATAAAGGACCTGAACAGATAGTCCCCCATGTATGTCAGCCACCCATCTTCTGTTTTCCAAAGCCTGCGCCACAGTACATTGCTTCCTTGCCCTCTTGGAGATCGAGGCAAAGAGATTAGGGGCCAGCTCTGCTACTGTTTTACCTTGCAGCCACCTATCACTCCAAAACATGGTATTTTCTCCATTTCCAACCACAGTTTTGACAGCCACATTGAAAAGAGAATGGACATTCTGAGGCACATGAATAGACAAACTGGCCCAAGGCCTAGCAAAATCAGTTTTTTGAAGCCATAACCATCTCATGCGTAGTGCCCATCCCATCTTTTCAAGGTTAAGGATACCAAGGCCTCCATAGGACAAAGGCCGACACACACGGTCCCAAGATATCAAGCAATTTCCTCCATTAGTATTTTCTCTTCCCTTCCATAAGAAGCCGCGGCGCCTTTTATCTATAGCCTTGACCACCCACTTAGGAAGATCCAACGAAATCATTGCATAAATAGGAATAGCCAAGAGGACCACCCTAACTGTTATAAGCCGACCTGCCTTGTTCATTAAAGAGGCTTTCCAACCCGGTAAATTATCTGCCACTTTGTCCACAAGGGGCAACAAATCTGTCTTGGTTGGTTTTCGGACTGTAAGAGGAAGTCCGAGATAAGAGCAAGGGAAATTCTTCACTTCACAAGACAACTCATTAGAAATCACTTCTAGATCATCTTCCAAGCAGTGAATAGGAGTGCATGAGCTCTTTGTCATATTGGTTCTTAGTCCAGAAATTTGACCAAAAACCTCCAAAATCTGCTTGATAAGAGATAGGTCCCCGCTTGTAGGACGCAAGAACATGACCACATCATCCGCATACAGAGAAACCCGGTGTGCTGTCTGCGGGACAGCAAGAGGTTCTAGTAGATTTCCATGATCCGCATGCACTACAACTGAGTTCAGCACGTCCATAACCAAGATAAAAAGCAAAGGAGACAAGGGGTCACCTTGCCGGAGGCCTCTACAAAGAGCAATATCCTTGCCGGGCTCTCCATTCACCAAAACTCTTGTGGAGGAGGTTGACAGCAAAAGGCAAAGCAAATTACACCATCGTCTCCCAAAACCCAAATGGCACAAAACTTCAAGAAGAAAGGACCAGTCGACCGAATCAAAAGCCTTCGAAATATCAAGTTTAAGCATAACATGGGCTTCTTTCTTACTGTACAGCCTTCTAGCCATTTGTTGGACAAGCAAAAAATTGTCATGTATGCTTCTACGCTTAACAAAAGCGCTTTGGTTCACAGAAACCATACCAGGGAGCAAAGGCGCCAGACGGTTTGCCATAATTCGGTGTTTTTCATCTCTTGCAGTTAGTGTTTAGTTGTGACATTGCCTTTCAGACAGACTTCTTTATTGCTGCTAGATTGGCATGCTGCATTTCTTGTGAGTCTTCTTTCGCCTTCTGTATAGGTGGACTGATGTTTCGCCTTCTTTCGCCTTCTCGCCTTCTTGTTGTGGCAGACTCACAACATAGTCCTGCCTGCTTGCTCTTCTCGTTAACTTCAGTCTGGTGTGCCTTCATATGCTTATATTGAGGTATAGGTGATTGCCTGCGTGCTTCATCACTCATCAACTTAAGCTTGTGGGTTGAACTGGCTTGCAACTCAATATGGTATCAGAGCTAGAGGTCTCGAGTTTGAATGTTGGATGACACAATTAAATAAAAAAAATGTAGTCCACTTCTATTGCATGTCTGAGGCCTGAGGGAGCTTCCACGTGGGGAGTGTTGAAGTATAAGTGAATCGCACCTTTGCTCATCAGCTTAAGCTTTTGGGTTGAACTGGCTGGGACCACTGGGCTGGCACATGCAATTCAACAGATACAAGAGCAGAGTTATTTTCCTTCTATCAAATGAATGTGATGCTTGTTTTCTAGATCTGTGCATTGATGATAGATTTTATTTCACAGCTTTTTGTTTCAGTGCTTGTTATAGATCTAGATTACTGGGTCTTGTCTTCATTTCTTTTTATCCATCACTTATATTTCATATAATGTTGCAGGTTAATGTTGTTCAATCTTCTCGTGGTTTGAGTGTAAAAACAAAACTGCATTCTTTGAAGATAAAGGATGAGCTTCAGGGTCGTCTCTCTATGTCTTCAAATTATCTAGCATGCTCTGTTATCAATGACAATTTGGAAACTGTAGATTCTAGTTCACCTGATGAGGAGGATCATCGAAAATCCTTCTCTGTTGAGGAAGATTCTTTCATGGATGCGCTGACAGATTTCACTCCTGACCAAAGTCCAAATCTTCAAGATTTGGAAATTCCTTCCAACTCAATATTTGATCCAGATGGGCATACTCAATTAAGTTCGAAAGATGGTTTAAGCTTTGATGGGGATCAGCAGAAAGTGAAGCCTACGGAAGTATTTTACGAGGCACAAGACAATAATATTAACGATTTTGTTGTCCTTACATTTTTGACCAGGACTCCTGATTCTTGTCTTTATGATGGTATAGATTCGCAGGTAATTTAATATATTCATCTTTTACTGTTACATAGATTTATTCCAAGCGAGAACTATAGAAGCAATATATCTAGTCCTAAAATCACAAAATGTACATCTTGTTGATATGTTTAACTTCCTAGATTGTAAATCTCTCTGTGAAGTTTGATTATTTTTGTATCTTGCTTTTTACAGATGTGTATCCGTATGTCTGCACTGGAATTCTACTGTAACAGACCAACTCTTGTTGCTCTGATTGAGTTTGGATTTGATCTTAGCATGGTTAATTCTGCCCCAAAGGGTGACTCTGATACAACACCTGCAGTACGCAACGTCAAACCTACAGGGATGGAAGATAATGCTCGCAATTTTGTTAAAGGTTTGCTAGGCTATGGAAAACGCCGAACTATCTTCAACATGAAGATGGATGTGGATCGGGTATCTATGTTTCTTAACAAGGAAGATGGTTCTCAGCTTGCGATGTTTGTGCAGGAGAAATTTCTGTTTGATCTGAAGGTGAGGTTAATGTATTTGGACTAAATAATGAAATTATCAAAGTAATATACTAGAACATCTATCTGGTGATGGAATATGTAATTAGTTAATGAAAGGTGTAATGTATACAATATTATTAAAGTAATTCAAGAACTATGAAATTCCCTAGAAAACCTTCCATGAACGTGGCAATCTAGGACATTATCTAGGATATGGTGATAGCATATGTAATTAGTTGATGAAAGGTTCAATTTATAAATTATTACTAAAGTAATTAAAACTATGATGTTCCCCCCAAAATCATCCATGAAGGCAGCAATCTAGGACAAGATCGCTATGTTGTTGCATTTAAAATTTTAGGTTGATTACTTGCCTGTTAGAATTTTATTGTGCGTCTTTTCTTTTTATTCATTGTTAAGCTGCATGCATATGTGTTTTTATATTGTTTCTTCTGATTTTTTATATATCAGGTTCATCCAGGTTCATTTTCAATTGATGGTATGCTGGGTAATATGAGATTTTGTGACATGTCTCTTGGGCCAGAACATCGTTGGGGTTGGCTATGTGATATACGGAAACCAGGTGTTGAATCTCTTATAAAGGTATTATTGACATTGGTTTGCAATCCTTTATACAGGTGTCAGTTGTTCATTCCCAGACAGCTGCACCAATAGAGTAGTCATAGTTCATCTCTTCAATACTTTAGTACATTGTAGGCTGTCAGGTATGCCATTTTACTATCAAATATGTATATTGATGCTTACTTTTTGTTTTGTAAAGGTTAGCAAGATGAAGAGTATGATGCGGACATGTATAATCATATTTGCTGCCTTGAGATTCAAATAGTAGATTTGACTAGATTATCAAAGAGCTTTTGTCCATTGATATTGAAAAAGAAAGGCTTTCAACCAATTAACTAACTTCGTATTAAAATAGTTTTCCAACATGACCATATATATTTAATTGTTTAATAGCACATTGATTTCGTCACCTATCCCTACTCGTGTTCCATCATCTGTTCAAGTACCTGGGTTTTTACCTCATCAGTGAATCTGCCTAGAATGGTTGATTATCCTCTGTTTTAACCTTGATTCTCTCTTTATCGACAGTGCATCAGATTTCCATCTCAAACTTTGTACTCTATGCAAACTAATTTACCATTTTAATCTTCTTAAGAGCTAACTATAATTTATTTGGTTGTGGCAGTCAAACTAAACAAGACTATCTTGTGTTGTGGCCGACAAAATACTGAAATCTTAATGTTTCCTCTCTGTTGCAGTTTGCGTTCCAGTCTTACAGCGTTGACGATGATGACTATGAAGGTTACAACTATAGTCTGATTGGGCAACTTTCTGCTGTGCGAATTGTATTCCTTTATCGTTTTGTTCAGGAGGTATGTGTTACACTTGCAAGCTGTTTGTTCTTGTTATCCATGACCATGTACATCTTTCTGAAAGTGCCTTCTATTTTGCAGTTCACCTCTTACTTCATGGAGCTTGCCACCCCTCACACTGAAGAAGCAATCAAGTTCATCGACAAAGTTGGAGGTTTCGAGTGGTTGATTCAGAAATATGAAATAGATGGTGCTTCTGCTATAAAGCTGGATCTTTCACTTGACACACCCATAATTATTGTTCCAAAGAACTCCCAGAGCAAAGAGTATGCCCTTATTTCAATTTTCCAGTACATGTGTTTGGTTTTGGTTTTATTAGTTGATTTAGTTCTTTAGGATCAGGTAGATAAGAAATTTCCTGTTTGTAGTCTAAATCTACACCATATATTGTAGGTGTGCAATTCTGAATCATAGTGGAGAAAGGCACATGGTTTTGCATTTTGTGTGCACATTTCTTATACCTGTGTCTACATATACTAATTTGTTCATTTTAGTCCGCACTTTTTTATTTTGATTGTGGGCAAGTTTAGTGAAGCATAATGGTGATTTAATAATACTTAGAAAGCTTGACATCACCTTCATATCATGCTGCAGCTATATACAACTGGATCTGGGACAACTGAAAGTTAGGAATGGTTTTTGCTGGCGTGGAGGTGAAGAGAGTGATCCTTCTGCTGTACGCCTTGATATTCTTCAAGCAGAGGTATGTATTGGAATGGAAAATTGGTCACTTTACTAATCTCAGTATGCTTATCTAGTTTTCTTATTCTTCTGCTTCAATGATACTGAAATAGATTAATGGAATCAACATGGCGGTTGGAGTCAATGGTATTCTAGGAAAGAGTATGATTAGAGAAGGTCATGGCATCAATATAGAAGTGCGACGTAGCTTGCGGGATGTTTTCAAAAGGGTCCCGATGCTCTGCATGAAATTTCAGGTGATTAATTTGTTTTTATACTTAAAAGTGTTTTCTTGTGACGTGACAGTACTTTTATATTGCTGATTATCTCACTTTTTTATCACCATTGTTTCATACTTTAGATTGGACTTAGTTATCTGTGGAATGATTCACTTCAAAGGCCATGATTTAAAAGCTCTATTAAAAGTGGAGAATAGCTTTACTGTGTAGCATCAATCTCCAGAAAGGTTTTGTTACTGGTTCAGTGTAAAAAATGAGTATATTATGTGCCACAAGTTCTAATATATGTGCTTTTCTGCAAGTGCAACTTTGAACATAAAACACAGATTTTTTTTCTGGAATTTACTCTAAATAATTTGATTTACTCAGTTTATCAGTTTCATTTTTGCATTAGATCTGAAATGTAAGCTCTTCTATTGAGTACACCTGAATGAATTAACTGTTAAAAATTGAAAATGGATTTAAAACAGTCTTCTAAGAAATTCAGAGAGTTTTTGCAAAAATTCGCACTGTTTAGGAGCTCGGGAAGCATGCCCATTAATCCATTCGTCAGAAAAGAACTGGGCTGATAAACTTCATATATAGTGGAAAAATGCAAAAAAAACAAGTGTTTTATATGATTATCATTTTTTTTCTTATGCAGATAGGGTTGCTCCATGGTATCATGTCAGATAAGGAATACAATGTCATCACAAGTTGCATTTCGACAAACCTATCAGAAGCGCCCAACCTCCCCCCAGGTTTCCGTGATAATGTAAATCGGACAAAAGATTCAATTCGTCTACTTGCAGATAAAGTTAATCTCAACAACCATTTGTTACTATCGCGTACTGTTGTAGTAATGACTGTGGATGTCCAGTATGCATTGTTTGAGCTTCGCAATGGTCCAGATGCTGAGTCACCTCTAGCAGAGCTTGTGGTGAGTTATCTTGTGCTGTTGCAGAGGGAAATGTTTCTGCAAATTTTTATTTTTGGTACTATAAATATATCATTCCTTTGTCATCTGCATTTTTGTACTACTTTTTGTGTGCCTTTTTTTTTGTGTGTTAATATCATGTTGGTTATTACTGACACTTTTTTATTCATTTTTTAATAGCTGGAAGGTTTATGGGTTTCTTATAGGACAACTTCACTATTTGAGATGGACCTTTATTTGTCTATACTAAAATTCTTGATCCATGATATCCGTCCAGATACAAAGTCCGAGATGCGCCTTATGCTTGGATCTTATTCTGAGACTTCTAAGCTGAGTACTCAGGACCCTTCATCTGATGTGGGGGTTTCCAACCTCACCATGGTGATATTGGATTATCGATGGCGTTCTTCCTTTCAGTCATTTGTTATAAGAATTCAGGAACCTCGTGTACTTGTTGTCCTGGATTTTCTGCTGCCTGTTGTTGAGTTTTTTGTTCCAAATCTAGGCACAATAACCGGCCGGGAGGAAAGTCTAGATCCAAAGAATGATCCTCTTATTAAGTCAGATGACATCATACTTTGTGAGCCTGTTTTCTTCCAGAGAGAGAATTTTATTCAACTATCTCCTGGGAGGCAGCTAATAGTTGATGGTTGCGATATTGATGATTTCACTTACGATGGCTGTGGAGGCACCATATCTTTATGTGACGAATATGACAAGAAGGGCCAGTTATACTCAGGGACTATAATTATTTTGGGGCGGGGCAAAAAACTTAGATTCAAAAATGTTAAGATTGAGGTATCTGCTCAGTGATTTTTTTTTATGGTTTTATGTCCTGTTGCCAGTCTCACTATTATTCTTTGGCCAAACTTACACATCTCTTGGCTATTTGTTTCATAAAAGAACGGTGCATTACTGCGGAGGTGTGTATATTTGAATGCTGGAAGCAGCTACTCAATTTCTGCTGAAGATGGCGTTGAAGTTTCAGTATTAGAAAGTTCTCTAAATGATAATGAAGATGATAATACGCAAAATGAAGAATATAAGAGAATTAATGCTCTTCAGCCTGGTGCAGATACCCCCTCGGCCCAAATGCTGAATTTTACATTTGAGGCTCAGGTACATAATTAGATTTTACGCAAGCTCCTCTAATGTATTTTTGAGAGTTGCTAAATAGTATATACTGCTTAAATTTCTGTAATTTTAGGACCTTTTTTCTGTTCTTTTTCTTAAGACGGTAAAACTTACAAGCCTGCAAAAAGTTTAGCAATTGAAACCTTGGATATAAGCCTGAGTGACCGAGTGTGGTGAACTAGCATGGTGCATGAACTATCTGGAAGAGTGCCCAGAGTTGTAGGATTTGTGGTATGTCACCACAGTAGGTTTTGGGAAAGCGTGTAATGTTTGTTGCGTTAACTCCTAATTCATTATTTGTTAGCACTGTTTGCTTCTGGAAATTTTATGAAAAAGGAAGAGTATAAGAAAAGGTAGTTAAATAATTATAAATTGGACAATTACCCGTAGTGTACCAAGTTGCTTCCTTAGTCTACAAACAGGCATTAACAAGTTTCTTTCTCCTCACCAACTGTTTTGTTCATGGAATAAATTCCCTACTCACATTATGTGCATTTCTTCTTTACTTAAAAACAAACATCCGGTTGCTCTTATTAAGTTGAATTGTAAGTGTATTGATTCTGGACTTATGCACATTTATGGTGTTGAATGTCTCACATTTCTCATTTCTGGAATATTCAGGTTGTATCCCCAGAATTTACCTTTTACGACAGTTCAAAGTTATCAATTGATGATTCCTTGCACATCGAGAAGCTTCTTCGCGCCAAGATGGATTTCAGTTTCATGTTTGTCTTCATTACATTACCTCTGCTAAGCCATCAATATGTCGATTTATTGTTGTATACATGTCAGTTTTCTCTGTTGATTGATAAAATCGTTGTGCATTTTAACAGGTATGCCTCAAAGGAAAAAGACATATGGGCTCGATCAGTTGTTAAAGACCTTACGATCGAAGCTGGCTCTGGTCTTCTTGTTCTTGAACCTGTTGATGTTTCATGGAAATATACTTCTGTCAGTGAAAAGACAAACATAGTACTTGCATCTACTGATGTATACATTCATCTTTCTCTGAGTGTGGCTTCTCTCTTGCTCAAACTGCAAAATCAAACTCTTGCTGCATTGCAGTTTGGCAATAATAACCCATTGGTTTCTTGTATTAACTTTAAGCGAGTTTGGACATCACCTAATGGTACTTGTGTGCTACTTCCTCTAACTCTTACTATTTTTCATGGTTTCTGCAACTTAGCTTAGCTGCTTTTGTATTATAGTAGTTTTCTGTTTGCTCTTCTGGGTACACCAATTTTTACCTTCTTTGATGAAATTCCACAGGTGAGTTGCCTGGGTACAATCTCACCTTTTGGAGGCCACAAGCTCCTTCAAATTATGTTATTTTGGGTGATTGTGTGTCCTCAAGGTAATTTTTGCCACTTGAGAACCTATATCGTCAACTGTTATTTGAGTATTATTAAAGCTACTGCAACAGTTATATGTAGTCATGTGTATAATGTTCGGAATCCCAGGTGAATACTAGGGCTTGCGTCTAATTGAATGCGAATAGTTTTTAATACCGCCTTCCATACGCTGAACTATGTTTCTCTTTTACGGAGATCCTTTTGTCCTGCCAAAGCTGATACTTTACCTTGTCAGGTGTGTGCCACCTTCTCAGGTTGTGGTTGCTGTAAGTAATACCTATGGCCGTGTACGGAAACCTCTTGGATTTAGGCTTGTTCATGTATTACCTGTATCTCTAGAGCAAATGAATTCATCTCAGGCAGCTGAGGACAATGAGTGTTCTATCTGGATTCCTGTTCCACCACCTGGATACATAGCTCTAGGGTGTGTGGTCAATATTGGAAGACAACCACCTTCAAATCACGTAGTGTACTGCCTTCGCTCAGATCTTGTGACTTCTACAGCTTTTTCTGATTGTATCCACACTCTCTCACCTACTCCTGGGTATGGCAACATCCTTTTATTGTTTTGTTGTGCAATATTTTTTTTTCTTATTTTCTTTCCCTGGAAAGTGTCGAGTGCCTAGTTATTATTTAATTATGAACACTGAGAACATGTAGTTGGTCATCGTGTTTATATTCTTTGTGCAGAGTAACTCCTGGATTTAGCATCTGGCGTGTCGACAATGTGATTGCTTCCTTCCATGCACACAATTCTATTGAACAACCCACTAGAGTTGAAGCTCTTGATTTGCACCATGTTCTTCTCCGGAATCCCAACTGCTATATTGTTAAAGATTTGAATGCAGATTCTTCTGTTCGGAGTAACCAGCCTGCTGATCAGTTAACTCATCGCAAGAGTACTTCTGGTTGGGATGCTGTTAGAAATTTGTCAAGGCCAAGCAGCTATTGCATGTCTACTCCACACTTTGAAAGAATATGGTGGGACAAAGGTGGAGATACAAAAAGACCATTTTCTATATGGCGGCCAATACCTCGTTTTGGGTTTTCCTCAGTTGGTGATTGTATAACTGAAGGGTAATGATTTCTTTATATACACACATAGGTACTTCTTTGTGGTACGTTGTTAATATGCTTGATGCTTCTTTCAGGTTTGAACCACCTACTCTTGGTATTCTTTTTAAGTGCGACAGCGCAATTGTTTCTGAAAGGCCTACTCAGTTTAAAAAAGTAGCCCAGATTGATAGAAAGGGTTCTGATGAAATATTATTCTTCTGGTATCCAGTGCCGCCTCCTGGATATGCTTCTCTTGGATGTGTTGCAACAAAAACAGATGAAATGCCAAGCAATGATTCCGTTTGCTGTCCGAAGATGGGTCTGGTGAATCATGCAAATATCTTAGAGGATCCTATATCCAGGTCCTCTAGCTCGAAGGGACCTAACTGCTGGAGCATTTGGAAAGTTTCAAACCAGGTAATCCATTATACCTGCATCATTCTAACTTATGTAATTATAGGAACCCAATCAATTTGCTGTGTTTTTAGGGCTGCACTTTCCTGGCAACATCTGATACGAAAAAACCACCAGCTCAAATGGCATACAGAATAGCAGACCATGCTAAACCAAAGGTGCGGGAAAATATTACTGCTGAGCTGAAGTTTGGATGCTTGTCAGTCAGCATTCTTGACAGTTCCTGTGGAATGGTGTGTACGCATGCTAAATTTTATTCTTTTTTGGACTGAGAATATATATCATTCAAATATTTCTATCTACATGCCAACTATATTTCCAAAATTTTAGGTCACGCCAATTTTTGACACTACAATCGCAAATATAAATCTTGCAACACATGGAAAATTTGAGACAATGAATGCTGTATTGATCTGTTCGATTTCTGCATCAACATTCAATAGACACCTGGAAGCATGGGAACCTTTTGTTGAGCCATTTGATGGGATATTCAAGTAAGTTGTGCTTATTTTAACTTAAAGTTGCATTATCTTCTAGATTTTTATGCCACTAACTTAACATTGTTTAATCATAATTGAAGGTTTGAGACATATGATACCAGTAAACACCCTCCTTCAAAAGTCGGTAAGAGGATTCGTGTTGCTGCCACAAGTCCTCTAAATGTCAACCTGAGTTCTGCAAATCTTGATTTGCTTATAGAAACTTTAATTTCATGGAAAAGACAAATCGATCTGGAAAAAAAATCATCAATAAAGAATGAGGTTTCAACTTATCCCTCCAGTTTATTCATGATTCTGTTTCTGTGCTTTTTGACAGCATGATTCATGGTTGATAGCATGTGTACCCTTTTGACAGGATACAGTTGACAGTGTGAAAAATGCTGATGATTTGTCCTGCTCTGCTTTGGATGAAGATGATTTTCAGAGAATAGTTTTTGAGAACAAATTAGGATGTGATATTTATGTTAAGAAACTTGAAGACAATGAAGACATTATTGAGCTGCTACAGCATGAGAATCAAGTCTCATTGTTTATGCCACCTCCCAGGTTTTCTGATAAACTAAGTGTACTGTCCAATTCTACGGAATCAAGATATTATGTTATCATACAGATCTTTGAATCCAAGGTCATACTCAGATACGCGTTTTGCTTTTCAAATACAATGCTTTTGATATGAACTAACTGCTTTCTTCTCATGTAGGGTTTGCCTATTATGGATGATGGCAATGATCACAGCTACTTCTGTGCTTTGCGCTTGCTTGTTGGAAGTGATGTTTCTGACCAGTACAAGATATTCCCTCAGAGTGCCAGGACAAGATGTGTAAAACCTTTGAAAACTTGTGAATCACAGACACATCATGCTAAGTGGAATGAACATTTTATATTTGAAGTGCCAGAGCAGGTAATTTGACCTGCCATTTTTATTCACGTCTCATAGTACCATTCCAGTTTACTCTATGTTTTTTTTTTTTGCAAAATTGTTAGCAGCATTGCATTATTCATTTTCTTTACTTTGCAGGCATCCGCTCATTTAGAGATTGAGGTAACAAATCTTGCATCAAAGGCTGGGAAAGGTAACTTCTTGAGTTATTAGAACCTGAATTATTTGAAGGATACACCTACTGTAATATAGTAGTATTTAAGTTATCTCCTGTAATTGTTGATCCAATAGTATTAGGGTTTCTTAACATCTTCCATCAATGCATAAGGTGAAGTACTTGGTTCATTGTCAATTCCTATTGGACGGGGTGCAACAATATTGAAACGAGCTGCTTCTATGAGGATCATTCAGCAAGCTGCTGATGTCAAGCGTGTGCTAACATGTCCTCTTACAAGGAAGGTATTAATTTTGTTCTTTAAACTGCTAATTTATATAGGCAATGTTGTGAGCAAATAGCATTGCTGAACTTTGGGTTAATTCTGCTTGTCACTTCATATGCTGAGCTCCTTGCTTCAACTTCTAGGGCCAAGCACTCAATCATGAAAATGTGAAACACTGTGGTATGTTAGTACTTTCAAGTTGTTACGTAGAAAGATCTACGCAGACGAACTTCCAGAGCTGGAAAGACAGCTTAAGCAATGCAAAGAGTGGTTTCTGGATAGGGCTTGGCCCAGATGGTCCATGGGAATGTTTTACTGCAGCTTTGCCATTGTCAACCATCCCCAAATCACTTAACAACAGCCATTTTGCACTTGAGGTCACCATGAGGAATGGAAAGAAACATGCAAGCTTAAGGGCTCTTGCTATTATTGCAAATGGTTTTGACATAAAGCTTGAAGTATCTGTCTGTCCTGTAACCATGCATAGTAGCTCTGTGTCAAATGCTGGTTCCACCAGTTCCACAAGCATTATTGATGAAGTATTTGAAAATCAGTGGTACCGACCAACTTCAGGGTGGGGAAGTAACCCTGCTAGTGATCAGGGTTGTGATGTAGGGCCATGGAGCACAAAGGACGGCTCTTACTCATCTAAGGTAACTTCTTTCAGACTAATTGGCCACTGAAATTCTTTTTGCTTGATTAATAAAAGGTTCTGCTGATATCTTTGGCTTTTTGTGATGCAAAATATCCTTAAATATATCATAAATGGTTGCCTCCTAAAGAGAAATGTGTGATTTATTTTGAAGGCATTCTTTGAACCTCGTCTTCCACCTGGCTGGAAATGGACGTCACCATGGAAAATTGAAATATCTAGTTCCGTGGATAGTGATGGATGGGCGTATGCTGCCAATTTTCAAAATTTGAACTGGCCATCTTCCTGGAAATCTTCCAAATCACCACATGACTTTGTTAGGCGAAGGCGGTGGGTGCGTTCACGGCAGTCAATGCAAGAACAAAGTGCAGAAATTCCTAGGAAAATAATTGCTGTTATGGAGCCTCATGCATCTACTGCATTGCCTTGGACAGCGATGATCAAGGATATGGATTTGTGCTTGCAAGTTCGCCCTTTTTCTGAAAAATCACAGGAATCATATAGTTGGAGTCAGGTTCTTTCACTAGGTTCTGAGAGCATTCCCAAGCAACAACAATCTTCACTTTCAAGGCAAAGCACCTTAAAGCAGTCATCTGTGCCCTCAAAGAATTCAGTTCTTAGACTGGCTGATCTTGAGAAAAAGGATATGCTTTCATATTGCTGTCCTCCTGTTGGCATTAAACAAAATTTCTGGCTTAGTGTTGGAATTGATGCTTCCATTCTTCACACAGACTTAAATATGCCTATTTATGACTGGAAAATTTGTTTCAACTCAATTCTTAGACTCGAAAATAAGCTTCCATATGAAGCCGAGTATGCTATCTGGGAGAAGTCCACGGAAGGTAGTATGGTTGAAAGGCAGCATGGTATTGTCTCGTCTGGTGGAAGTGCATTTATCTATTCAGCAGATATCCGGAAACCAATTTACCTAACTATGTTTGTCCAAAATGGCTGGATTATAGAGAAGGTAATATAACTTAAACATTGGAAGCCTAACCATGGTGCCTGTTATCATAATGTGCCTAGAGTTCTAGACTACACGTATGTGATGAATCTGCTGGAATGCACATTGTGCTTCCCTGCTTTGATAGTCATCACTAGTTGTTTTATCTTCTGAGGAAAAGTGTTGTTCCCATAAATTACTTATGGAATTAAAGAGTGCTTTATCTATATGGCAAGACTGAACATGTTTGCCTTGGCTCACATAAAGTTGCTCAACGCACAAAATGATGTTTTAATTCTCTAACCTTTTGTTTCTCATTTTCATTTTAGGACACTGTATTAATACTGGACTTAATGTCCCTGGAACATGTTACTTCATTCTGGATGGTTCAAAATAGGAGCCAGAGGTTTGTAAGCTTTAACAGTACCCCTAGTGTTTCATTTGCTTAGTGTGGTTATCTAAACAATTGATATGAATTTCAATTCAACACAGAAGTTTCTAAACACAGCCAGAACAGTGCAAACAAACAACATAGTCATGTCCAACATATTTGCCCATCTCATTTTACCAGCATATTTGGAATAGACCCTACTGCATTTTCTAATCTGTAACATATACAATACTACTATGCAAATTTGATTTGAACCATTGGTGGTATCTAGTATTTAGCCACCATTTTTTCTGAACTACTTTTTTCTTTCACTGCACTCTATCTGTAGTTCTGTTGACTTGTCACCTTCAGGATCTTCACTATTAGGACTTTCCTCTCCTAGTCATGGTCTTCTCTATGCATGATCGGGTCAAAATTAGTTGCTCTAATACCTTTTTTTTTTGGTGAATGTTAGTTAAGAGCAAGTGTATACATTTATTACAGGGGTCATACAAAATGATTGTAGTAGAAAAGCGTCAGGTGAAGGAGGGCCCTAGGGACTACTGTTATAATTAATTATTATTCCAATTTAAAAATGGGTCCTTTTCCAAAATTCTCTTGTTCATTAGCTACTTATGCCTTTGTGAAAGATACGGTTTTAATAGGCTTATTGATGGTAATCTCATATATTTCTTAAGACACAATTTGAAAAAAGAGTGTTAGTGCAGTTGATCTACTGTTTCATGTTTTCTTGTTAGTTGATATGTCATAATTTCTAGTCATTTTACTTGTGTCAAATATTAGGAGACTTCGTGTTAGTGTTGAACATGATCTGGGAGCAAGTGATGCTGCACCGAAGACACTGAGATTATTTGTTCCATATTGGATAAAAAATATTTCTTCAATTCCACTATCATATCGCATCGTTGAGGTGGAACCAACAGAAAACTCAGATGCAGAGTCACTTAGCAGACCAGACTCACTAAGCAGAGCAGCTAAATCTTCAAAATTTTCCCTCAGATATTCTTCAAAATCTCTTATCAGAAGAGGCCCAGTGGCACAGAGAAATATGCACATATTGGAGGTTATAGAAGATTGTAGTACAGACTATGTAATGTTGTCGCCACAGGATTACATGAACCGCTCTGCAGGTGTGCGCTTTGAATCTCGGGATAACAATTCCAGCCCAGCACGAGTTGCGATTTGTGTGGCTGTTGGCAGTTGCAAACAATACAGTATAGGAGTGTCCCTTTTTGATCTTGAGAACAAGGTATAGTTTGTGGTTTTACACACGTTTGAACTATTGCTTATCTTCTCTTCAAGTGTCATTCATCTGGTGCAGGAGCATGTTGATGTCAAAGCATTTACTTCTGATGGGTCATATTACTGGTTCTCGGCTCAGCTGAAGATGACTTCAGACAGAACTAAGGTTTGATTCTGTGTCTTCACATCTTCATTGCTTCATACTTTGGTTCAGCATGATTATTTTTCGCAATTAAAGTTGTTCAGCAATTGAATGTTGTCTCAAAAGAATTTACTAGATGGAAACTAGGTCATTTACCATACTACTGTGCTATGGAGTATTTGAAAGATTAAAACACCATATTACTTAGCATGTTGACAAAGTTCCAGCAAGTTGCAATGGAAGCAAGTAAAGCAATTAATCCTAATATTGTGTTAGGACATGTTCAGAGATAGGAAACAACAATTAAATTTTTTACATATATGATTTACAACAATTAAATTTTTACATATATGATTTTTCAAGTTTTTCATTTACTGCTCAAGGGAATGCAATATGCAACACCTCGAATTGTTTGTTAAAGAGTATTCTGTCCTTGTTCACTATGTTTAGTTAAATTATGTAATAACATAAAAGGTTTTCAGAAAAATGTTGACTGATAATGCAGGTTATAAATTTTCTCCCACGAGCACTTTTTATCAATAGAATTGGAAGAAGTATTATCCTATCTGAGTATCATAGTGAGACTGAAGAGCATTTACATCCAAGTAGTCCTCCTCAAGCGTTTCAATGGCGATCAGAATTTGGGAACGAACTTTTAAAGGTTAACTTTTATACTCTGAACTGCTACTTCCTGCATACATATAAATGGTTTTGGTTATTAACTTTTCTACTTCTCAACCTCACAATTCTTTACGCTTGCAGTTGCGGTTGGAGGGATACAAATGGAGTACACCTTTTAGCATTGATGCTAATGGGGTTATGTGTGTGCTCATGAACAACACTACAGGAAATGATCAAGCTTTGGTGAGAGTAAACGTTAGAAGTGGAACAAAATGTTCACGTTATGAAGTTGTATTTCAGCTCGCTTGCTGGTCCAGCCCTTACAGGTAAGCATACTTACACGAAATTTATTTTATCATAAATCGTACATATCTAAAATAAAATATAAACAATACATGCAGGGTAGAGAACCGCTCCATGTTCTTGCCTGTACGGTTTCGGCAGGTTGGTGGTGATGATTATTCATGGCGTAGTCTGCCTCCAAATTCATCGGCTTCCTTCTTTTGGGAGGATATTGGCAGAAGGCGTCTTTTGGAAGTATTAGTAGATGGAAGTGACCCTACAACCTCCATGACATATGACATTGATGTTGTCATGGATCACCAACCGCTAGCTGCATCAAGCAGGGTGAAGAAGGCTTTGCGTGTCACTGTTCTTAAGGAGGGAAAGTTTCATGTTACCCAAATTAATGATTGGCTGCCTGATAATAGAACTCGGGAACAGACAACAGAAAGGCTATTATCACCAATATTTCAGCCATCAGAGGTCGACAGTGGGCAGTCATCTCCAGATCTGGATAGTGAATTTCATGTTACTTTGGAGCTAACAGAGTTTGGACTTTCCATAATTGACCATATGCCTGAGGAAATTCTTTTCCTCTCAGTGCAGCAACTATTACTAGCCTACTCATCTGGAATGGGCTCTGGAATCAATAGGTGACAATCATGTGTTTTTGGTTATTTGCTAGGTTGCTGTTTTCCGCTCAAAATTTTCTACTTTTTTCCGTACTTCAATTTGTTGCTTCTTTTAATGGCAGGCTCAAAATGCAGATGCATTGGATTCAAGTGGACAATCAGTTACCTTTCGTTCTTATGCCTGTCCTTTTTTGTCCTCAAAGGATGGAGAATCAATCAGACTACATCATCAAGTTCTCTATGACATTGCAGACCAATAATTCTCTCGAATTTTGTGTTTATCCATATCTTGGTGTGCAGGTGATCTGTCTACATGGGTTATTAATAAATCTTATTTTAACATAGATATTTTCACATAGATGTTTTTTCCTTATGAGATTGTCTTTTGAGTAGCATAGCTTTATCAAACAGCCGTGTGAGTAAGTTTTTTTTTACTTGGTCTTGCTTGGGTTTTATTCATGACAGTTTCCTAGTTGTACATGAAGTTATCATATATTCCCTCCATTTCAAAATGTTTGACACCGTTGACTTTTTAGTACGTGTTTGACCATTCGTCTTATTCAAAAAATTTAAGTAATTATTTATTCTTTTCATATCATTTGATTCATTGTTAAATATACTTTCATGTACACATAATTTTACATATTTCATTAATTTTTTTTGAATAAGACGAACGGTTAAACATGTGCTAAAAAGTCAATGGTGTCAAACATTTTGAAACGGAGGGAGTATGTCTTTAAATATTTGTTGCGATAATAATTATGTAATGCTTGTAGGTTCCTGAGAACTGTGTGTTTTTTGTTAATATCCATGAGCCAATTATTTGGCGCCTCCATGAGATGATTCAGAACCTAAAATTTGATAGGATATCCAGTTCAGAGTCTTCTGCTGTCTCAGTTGACCCTATACTGAAGATTGGGTACGCACACTATTGCATGTTGTGTTTTTTTCTTATATTTTTTCCCTGTTGTTGGTACTAAATCTTTTGTTGCAGGCTTCTTAATATTTCTGAAATACGATTTAGAGTCTCAATGGCAATGTCCCCTACCCAGAGGCCGAGAGGGGTTCTTGGGTTCTGGTCTTCCTTAATGACGGCACTGGGAAACATGGAGCACATGCCGGTAGGGAATCAGTTAAATGTTGTTAACTAGTCTTTCTTTTTTATAATATCTCCCTCCCTCTCTTTGGTTTCCATTACAATTATCTTCTGCAAACTTTCATACCGTTATGCATGTTTGAGAAAAACTTTCATGCCATGGTACATTATTGTCCCTATACGCTGATGTACGCTACTCTAATTATTTTAAGCACTGATTCCTTTATCTTAACAATGAAGGTCCGCATAGCTCAAAGGTATCGGGAAGAATTGTGCATGAGACAAAGTGCACTAATGAGTTCTGCTATGTCTAACATTCAGAAAGATATTCTCAGCCAACCTCTTCAATTACTTTCGGGTGTTGACATTCTTGGCAATGCAAGTAGCGCTTTGAGTAATATGAGTAAGGGTATAGCAGCATTATCCATGGACAAGAAATTCATTCAGGGCCGAATGAGACAGGTTCATTTCTTTCTACGTATGCATGTATTGAACTGTATAAAAGTAGTATGTTATGATAACATGTACTTTGTGGTTCGTAATGTTTCTCCAGGATAGCAAAGGAGTGGAAGACTTTGGTGATGTCATACGAGATGGAGGTGGGGCTCTCGCAAAGGGCATCTTCAGAGGTGTTACAGGCATATTGACAAAGCCCATTGAGGGTGCAAAATCTTCTGGTGTTGAGGGCTTTGTGCAAGGTGTCGGAAAAGGTTTAATTGGTGCAGCCGCTCAGCCAGTGAGTGGAGTTCTTGATCTTTTGTCGAAAACTACAGAAGGTGCAAATGCTGTGAAAATGAAAATATCATCAGCTATAATGGCTGAGGAGCAGTTGGCTCGTAGGCGTCTCCCTCGAGCCATTGGTGGTGATAGCTTGCTCTATCCTTATGACGACCATAAAGCAGCTGGCCAGGTAACTAGCATTCTCTCCCTCAAGCCGGTGGCGATCTCATTTGTTTCAAATGGTATTCTTAATCCTTTTTGGCGGTGCTTTTTAGGCTATCTTACAATTAGCTGAATATGCTACATTTCTTGGCCAAGTTGACCTTTTCAAAGTCCGGGGAAAGTTTGCATCTACTGATGCTTATGAGGATCATTTTATGCTACCTAAGGGTAAAATTCTTTTAATTACTCACAGAAGAGTACTACTGCTTCAGGTAAGACAAACGTAGATTCTAGTTACATTACGGTTTGTACTGTTCATTCTATTTATCATATGATTGTATTTCAGGTCCCAATGATGACCCAGAGAAAGTTCAGTCCTGCAAAGGATCCGTGCTCTGTAATCTGGGATGTATTGTGGGATGATTTGGTGACTGTAGAAATGACCCATGGGAAAAAGGATGCTCCAGGATCCTTACCTTCAAAGCTTATTTTGTACCTGAAAGCTAAGCCCACAAATTCTAGGGAGGTTGTTCGGTTGGTCAAGTGTAATCGTGGGTCTGATCAAGCTACACTGATTTACTCATCAATTGACGGAGCGTATAAGGCCTATGGTCCAAAATCAACAAAGGTAAATGGACTTCTTGTGAGTAGGAGCGTGTGAATGGCAACTTGTACTGTTCTACATATAATAACATGTCATGCGTACTGTTCTTTTATCACGTGCAACATGGCTTAGCTTTGTGTTATCAAGGTCTCCGTGTTGTACAGAGGAATGGCATTTTGTTCTTTTAGTCATCCGGATATGTATACATGTTCAGCTAACTACTTGTTACAGTATTGAGCAAGTTTTCTAGTCTCGTTTGGTTAATATGAAGGGTTCTGTCAACATTCTTCAGGAATTGCTGAGATGGAAGGTACCAAGACCATATGCCCCTCGCAACACTAGTGGTCGTACCGTTCAGGACTTATCATATGGTTAGATGACAAATGCTCTCATCAAAGGATCGACACTAGATACACTTGCATGATGATGTCTCAGAAAATTATTTTTGAATTAATATTTGCGCTTGAGCATGATACAAGCAATGCCGTGCTACTCTTCGACTGCAGAGGTATGGGCACACCTATCATTATTCTCTTAAAGCTAAGGAAAATGTTATAAGAGGGACATATACCAAACGTTAAGAGCAGCTGAGCTGAGCCTCTGGTGCGATATTTGTTTTTGGCCTTATTCTGGTGGGATTTGTTCTTGGTTTAACAAATTTTCCCCCAAAAGAGTAAGGATTTGAGAGGTCTTTAAATGATTTGCAACTCATTTTTTGCTGCTACTCCCTCCGTCCCATAATATAAGGGATTTTGACTTTTTGCTTGTATTGTTTGACCACTCATCTTATTTAAAAAAATTATGCAAATATAAAAAACGAGAAGTTGTGCTTAAAGTACTTTGGATAATAAAGTAAGTCAGAAATAAAATAAATAATAATTTTAAATTTTTTTAATAAGACGAATGGTCAAACAGTTGAAGCAAACAAGTCAAAATCACTTATATTATGGGACGCGGAGAGTAATAGATATTGATTGATTGGACAATTGTTCATTTGGCTTACGTTTTGCAGGTGTTGTCAGGTTCATGCTCACCTTGACTAGTTGGCAGTCAAGAGAGCCGATTTGTTTGTATGGATATTTCAGAACGTGAAGGCACATACCAGTGCATTGCATATATAACTTTTTAGGCGGACCCAATTCGGTGTTGTAAATTTTTGTGTTATATGTGAAATTTTGGGATATAGCAGTCTTAGTCATAATGCAACAAGAGCTTTATTTGTAGATATATTTTATATATGTATAATGCAAGTGGGCGGTCCAATTTACATGGCCAGCAAGGCCATTTCTTTACCCCAAGCAAGGATTTGAGAGGTCTTCAAATGTTTGCAAGAAAATCGTTTGGCGCGGTTTCTATATATCCCAAAAAATGTTTGCTGACTCTTTGAAAGCAAAATCTTTTGAAATTTGTCCCAGAGTGCAATTTGCACTCCTTTTCAATTGTAATTAGTTTTTACACAAAATCTCGCAACGTAGTCCATAAAAATTGACATATCATCTATAGTTTGCCAACTGTTGGGCCAAAATATTTTAAAAGATGGAAATGCATATATTTTTTTTAATATTCAGTAGACTATAAACATATATCCAACCTCTACATCAACTAAGCATGCACATAGTTAATGGAAATTGTACAATTAGAAAGAAGTACGTTTGGTCATGTTTACACCTAGTTTTTGGTTTATACTTCCTACATATTTTTATAGGAAATTCCCTATGTGTCCACAAAAATTTCTCGTATCCCTTGCTTCTAAGTTTTCATTTTAATCTCCTCTTTATATCCATCTCGTTAGTTGCCATGAGTTCACCGTTAAATATTTTTCATATTGACTATATTGCCCTTCTCTCAAACTTATGTTCTAGTTTAATCACAAAACACAATTCTCATGTTAAAGAATTTATTTGTAAGAACACAAACGGAATAATTAATTATTTCACCACAAATTTTAGAAATAAATTAAAAAAAATTAATAAATTTCAAATTGACTCATGGAATTCGTAGAGCATTTCACTAAAATTTAAAACCCCAAAATTAATAATTTCGGTTTTCAATTTCTAGATGAAACTCTTATACGGATTCGAAATGAATGAGCAAACCAGCAGAACCAAGAAATGGGAATTAAAAAAAAATTCTTTTCAAAAGTTTGAATTTTTTTCAACTTTTACATCAAATAATTTTGTCTCAATTTGATGTTATTGTAAATTGCAAATTTTCACATGAGATTTATGATGAAGTAGTAGCAAATAAGTATGGCAAAGGGGCAATATCGTCATTTTGAAAAACTAATGGCCAACTAACATAATAGGGATAGAGGGGATCAAAATGAAAACTTCATAGCATGTAGGAGATGAGGCAAAATTTAGAGGTATAGAAGAGATTGTGGAAAATTTTAAGGATACGTAGGGAATTTTCCCTTGTTTTAATTATGACTAGCTACCCGTACTTTGGTATGGATAAATGTATTTTTCACGAAGTGTGTTGCCCATTGTTTGTTGTGGGACATATTTGCCTTATTTCGATTTTACATGTAACTATCCACTTATATTTAGTTGTTTTTAATACTAAGAAAAGTTTACGATGAAAGCAGTTGTGGGTGACAATAGCTAAGCTTTTAAAGTGGTATATAGATAATAAGATGCCTATTTTGAATTTTAACCTATCATAAATCTTACACATTGGAGCATTTCTCACTGCAGCCCACTATCCGCACATGAGGTGTTTGGTTTAAATCCATAAGAAAGTTCATTTTAGGTCTCTCGTAAGGTTTAAGTTCAGATCACGTCCCTTAATCGCAAAAGGGATACAACACATCTCTTATCTTTCAAAATTAGTGCAAATATAGCCCAAAGGCGGTTTGGATGGCAATTTCAACTAACGTGGCACCCACTTGACATGTTGACTTGGTCTTCATGATTGCACAACGGGTGCTACGTCAGCCGAAACTACCTGTGGGACTATATCGACACTGGTTTTGGAAGATGAGGAATGTGTTCTACCCAATTTCTCTGTTTAGAGATGTGGTCTAAACTTGATCCTTAGACGAGGGACCTAAATAAACTTCTTCCTAAATTCGTACAACTGCAAATGGAAGCTTTTTAGTTGGCCCAGGTTTGAGCTGAGCAGCCCAACATGCCCCAGCTAGATAGTACGTATGCTATTGCTTCGAATTCTGTCTCAAATTAAATTAATCTCGTATGAAATGTGACATATTCTAGTACTAAATTCGTAGTACTAGATATATCACGTACCATATTGGATTAACTTAATTTGGGACATATGAAGTAGATCATGTCGGTCATGTTCACCTTATAATGATTTTCAACCATTTTAAATTTTGTTAATACCAAAATTATAAGGTAACAACTAAACATATAATTACCAACGCAACTCTAACAAAACTTATACTAGAATTTAGAATTTAGAAAGACCTCAAACAAAACACTACTAAACTTTAGCATTAAAAAAATGGTAGTAATGTTTTTTTGGTAATGAAGCCAACAAGCCCTTTGTTGTTTTATTTGTAATCAAATTCTGAATCCTACTATAATATTCTGTCTTGCGGCTCTCGCCTTGCTAGTGATGAGCAGGGTTTCCCTTACCATTTGGAGGGGGGTTATCGCACAAGGTAACCGCCGAAAACCGTGTGAATTTCATCAGCAAATACTTGAATTCCAAATTTTGCAGTTTCATGGTTTGGTCGCGGTTACCGCACGGTTTGATGCGGTAACCGTGATATTTGTGCGGTGACCGTGAGTTGTGTAGCTAAACAGAACAACATTAAGAAATGAAATAAAACATTTAGTGTAGATATTAGGGATAATTAGAAGAATATATAGGATACTTGTAAACCTAACTTTTGGATGTAAAACACAGAATTTCGGGCCCATGAGATATTTTCTCCTCTATTAGGCCTTAATGGGCTGGTTGCACAATGCAACTTAAGGTGATGCGCACGAGGGTGTCCCGATCTTTCGATGAGAGGACAATTTGATTGAATGGAGCGACGTTGGAGATCCGACTATAACTATCTAGAGACGTTACACCTTTGCAATCGTTACACCAACTCTAGAGGCAGTCATGAATCTCGACGGATGCATGGTTAGCCCAACCACGAGGGCATTTGTTCCTGCAAGCAATCGAGAACTAGTAAGAAAAAGATGAACAGGCAACTCGATTTGCAAATAAAGATGTAGGATTGAATCAGCAAAAATATCACAGATGGGGTTCCGTAACAAGCAAACCCGAGTTGTTCTAATCGATGACAGGATTACACGGAAAAATACCAAAGCTAAATTTTGATCTAAACAAAACCCGAGTTGTTCTATGGTGGCCAAGGGAAATATAAAGGCGGGAGGATGAGTTGGAATCGTCCTCTAACTCCTAAACTCATCCAAGCGATTTCTAGTTGATTTTACACAATTAATAGCATTGACAATGTCTTGATCCTTTCTTTGTAAAGTTACAGACAAGGTGTTTGCGATTGCCAAGATATTCAACATAAGCTGCAAATAAAACACAATTTTTTGTCATCCCTGTCATTCTCTTCCATATACTCTAGAACTTTAACTATTGTAGGGAACAATTGAACCAAACTCTTTAGTGTCTCATAGTGAGAGCTCCAATGAGTATCTCCAGACCTCTGAACTAGTTATAAGTAACCCACATTCTAAAGCATCATGCACATGTTCTGCATATATATCTCGAATCATATCCCTTCTTTTGAAAGATCCACCAACCACATTTAATAAAAGAGAAATCATATCAAAAAAAGTTCCCGATTCCTTTATGCTTCTTTACAATGGTCACAACTACTAGCTGAAGCTGGTGTGCAAAGCAGTGAACGTAATATGCTGAGCTATTTTCTCTCATAATTAGTGATTGCAAACCATTGAACTCCCCTCTCATGTTGCTAGCACCATCGTATCCTTGCCCTCTCACTTGTTTCAAACTTAGCTTATGCTCCGCAAATAAATCATCAATAGCAGACTTAAGGTACATAGATGTCGTCTCCTTAACATGAACAAGGCCAACTAGTCTGTCTTTAACACTGCCACATTTACCAACATAAGGCAGGACCACTGCCATTTGTTCCTTCTAAGACACATCCCTTGACTAATCAACCAGCAAACAGAAAACATCATTCCCAACTTCTTCAAGAATAGAACACAGTACCTCTTTTGGAAAGCAACATATGATGTTATTTTGAATCTATGAAGATGTATACTGACTATTACTATTACCAGGAGCATTTTTACCTGCAACCTTGTGTAAAGCTTCCCCAAAAAAAATTGTGTAAAGCTGGATTTTGCTCTGCGGTATAAGCATGAAATTCCTTGAAATTTCCTTTATTGAGAGACCTCCTCACTCTCATCATGGCCCCGAAAAGGCATACCTTGCTTCAGTAAGAGTCTAGTAACATCAATTGAGCCATTTAATCGAGTATAATAAGCAATTTTCTCAGCATTACTTTGGCTGTTCAAAGAAACATCAATGTGCTGCTCTTTTTTCAATAAAGCATCACAATCCCTCATTGCTTGGTTATGAACACTATCAATATCACCAACGTTAGCTAACCACTTCTCACTGGTCACTGCCAACCAGTTATTCTAGTGCAAGCAGTAAGCAGCGATGCAGCATGTGGACAACCAAAAAAAAAATGATTGAATAAATCAAAATGATTTGATGCTCCTACTCTGACAGCACTAAAGAATATTGAATGAACTAATGGCCTAATCCAATAATCTGAATTCTGGACTAATGGCAGGAAACAAACCTTGCAAGTTGCAACTTGTGGAAGACTGGAAGTCGAGCGTACGCGAATGCCCGCTCGCCGTGGCCTACACGCAGCGTGTAGTCGGCCGCGCGGGTGCGCAGCACTTGATCTTGATCTGAGTAGAGGAGTGATTGAGCGAAGGAGAAGGATCGAGCAAGAGCAGCGATTCAGTGTCTCAAGTCAAGAGTACCGACGACTGACGAGGAAAAGGAGCGGAGAGCCGGAGACGCAGTTAATTCAGTCTTGAGATACACGGTTTGGACTTCAGAGCATCGTTTCACCTTGGAAAAAGTACATGGAAGGTCCCTGGTCATCGAGTTACAAAATTGTCCCCCAACCGCAAACCCAGATATCCAGCGTTCCTTAACTAATCAAAACCGGTCATAATAGGTCCTTCAGTGGTTTTGACCCCGGTTATCCTACGTGGCAGCTAAGTCGGCGTGGGACCCATGTGGGCCCCACATATCAGGATGCCACGTCATCTCTCTCCCTTCCTCCTCTCTCTCCCTCTATCACTTCTATCCTCTTA